GGGTTGAAAATTATATTCACAGATCTGAATATAATGGTCTGAAAATGGCAATACTATTTAAAAAAAAAACCTGCGAGCCTCATTTTGGTAATACAATTTACTTATAAGGGCTGAATCAACAACAGCAAAAAGTTGTGCTCTTATTTTAATGAAACAAAAGCAGAAAAAAAGTGCATGCTCTCAAATTGAACTTTAAACATTTCTATCATTTAAAAATAGATATAAATCCTATAGAGCATGCAATTATTGCTTTTAAAAGCCTAAAAAGACTAAACTGGAGAGTCATTAGCAGAATCAGATGTGGTGTTGGGACTGCCCATCTTGCCTGACCATGCTGTGATGTGTCACACGATTCAGCAGACAGCAGCTGGGCACGTCTAGCACTTCCTTGCCATGGCAGGGGAAGGAACACAGCTGAGTAGCATGCAGGCCAGTCAAAATTTATTTAGAAAGTGATTGTACATGTACAACTTGCTTGGGTAACCTGGGTAAAAGTGGTGACACGAGCCTCTGGCTGGTTTTAAAACACCAGAGTTTCATTCTTGATGGCTCCAGCTTGATTTTACCCCTGTGAGAAGTAAGAATGGTAAGCAGTGAAGGTCACAGGATGATATTCCTAGATTGTGCTATGGAATTCAACTTCAAATATGATTCTTAAGAGCATTTATTCTATATCCTTCACCTAGGAAGACAATGAAACCTTTTAAGAACTAAATTGTAAAAATCCATAGTTACATAAAAATGTCAAGAAATTATGTTTATGTGAACTGTAAAAATATAAAAGCAAAATTCTATATTAAATCTTGTCACAAGACAGGTATAATTACAAGCTTGCCAAAATAAAAAGATCACTATTTTGAAATCCATGCCTTCAATTTCCTTAAATTTTTTTCATGCAAAGCTTTATTTCTATACCAGTCTGTTTATGCTAGTGGTCCATAGATAGATACACATATATAAAATTTATATTATGTAATATAATAGCAATTCATATTTTTATTTTAAAAATTTCTAGAGATCATTTCCCCTCAATTGTGGTATAGCTGCATATACTTTATTATGAAAATGAGTGGAAGTAATAGAGTTTTTAAGTACTATCTAAATTAATGATTAATTTACTGCCTCTTCTTAAAGCACAAATAATGTTGCAAAAATTTTTTTTCTTTTTTTTCCTTTCTTTTGAAATACATCATTCTGTTAGGTTTAACTTGTATGATTTTTCACTTTGTCGGCAAAAAGATATTTTGTGTCCCCCAAAGCACAGCCCAATGTGCTTTTTCTACTTGTGTTCAAAAAACTAATAAGTGTAAACCAAAATGCTATTTTATGGACACATTATTTTTAATTTGTGTGTGTACGTATGAGTGTGTATGTGCTATAGCTATTAAAAAAGAACAACCCAGCCAACATAAATATAAATCTGACTTGTGACCTGTGTTCAATGACAGTAGTTTTCAGAGATTTCAGATCAAAACTGAAATTTGCTGGAATTTATCTAAATCTATTCTATAATGCTGATTTTTGCTTTTGTTTTTAAAAACAGTGTACAGTTGACCCTTGAACAATGCAGGTTTGACCTACTCAGGTGCACTTACAGCACTGGGGCTATCACTACTAGTAATAGTGTCAAATACATATGGCACCGATTATGTTCAGAACTTACAGATTTTTTTCAGTAATAAGTGCTACAGTACTGTAGGGTCTTCAGTTGGCTGAATTTGCTGATGTGGAACTGCAGTTACAAAACCATGTATATGGAGTGAAAGTCGCTTTGTGTCCTACTCTTGCGACACCTACAGCCCTTGGAATTGTCCAGGCCAGAGTACTGGAGTGGGTAGCCTTTCCCTTCTCCAGGGAATCTTCCCAACCCAGGGATCGAACCCAGGTCTCCTGCATTGCAGGCGGATTCATTACCAGCTGAGCCACAGGGGAAGCCCAAGAATACTGGAGTGGGTAGCCTATCCCTTCTCCAGTGGATCTTCCCAACTCAGGAATCGAACTGGGGTCTCCTGCATTGCAGCTGGATTCTTTACCAACTGAGCTATCAGGGAAGCCCTTGTATATGGAAGGTTAACTGTAAATTGTACTGAGATTTTCAACTGGGTGTAGGGTTGACACCCCTAACTCTCGTGTTGTTCAGTGGCCAACTGTATTTTTAAACTTTGTGTGAGCATACGTGAGGATTGCCCTATTATTTTTAAAGGTTTTTCTGGTACTATTTAAAAAATTCATCCACATAAAACTTATGCTTGAATTTAATTTTACTGTGCAAAATAACTTGAAGTTTTATCCTAACTTTATAGAAGTATTTGATTTTATATTAATTTGCAGGTATTTTCCCTCTATTATATCTGTATATTTTAAACAATTTAATTTGGTAACTGGATTCTGCCTACCCAAAACTAGCTAGGAAGAGGACAGATGATTATTTTAAAAATTCACCCAAAAAAGAAATTTTATTCTGATAATAAAATGTTTTCAGTGGCTTGAAAATAAAGATATATTTCCTTGTTCCAAATTTATGATTTTTTAGCTATTAAAAAGATATGCTAATAAGGTGGAAGTCTTCTAAAGCAGTCATTTGAAATATCTGTGGACATCATAGTTTTTGAAGTATTCTGGAAACCCAACTTTTTGGTAGAAAGAAATTAACATATCATTTCCAAGAGTGCAGTGAGATGAAACCTACAATATTAATGTAGCAAAATTTTTTAGCCTCTTTGGCTTTTCTATCTCTTCTTGACCCCAAGCTAGTCTTGTCCCTAGTCTTCCCTTGTTTTCTCTTTGCAGTTACTTCTGTGGTGAACTCCTCTGTTTTTAAGGAATCAGATAATGATGAAATCTGTGTTATTATATCTATTTTTAAACCCTGACTGCTCATCCAGGCTGTGGTTCCCACTGTATCCCACTTCTAATTCAGTATATCCCAGTTGAATTCCTTCTTTTCCCATAAACCTGGTAACCTAAAAGATCATTTCAGACAGTTGCATTACCATTTTTCCAATTTCTCAGACTCTTTACTAGGTTTGTCAAATTGCCAGTTAGTCTCATCTGCCATACTTATTACCATAGTTCATATTTCTATCACCTCATTATTATCAAATGATTGTTACCTCATTATTCCCCAAGATAACCCTTATTCCTCATTCTAAACTGCTTTACTCATTACTATGGAATAAATTTTCCTAAAACATCAGTTTTCTATTGCTTTTCACCTGCTTCAGAACAGATAGCTTATTGATCATGTAGCCAATTCCAAACTCTTTGGCTGATTTTCAAGACTGTAGTATCTGAAACTACCTTACTCACTCAAACGTATTTTTCCACTTTCTCAACCAATACATTTTTCATACTGATTATTTCACTGCTGCACCTAACTACCAAGCTCACTCTAACTCTGGCTTTTGTTTAGTAGTTTTCTGCCTTGGCTTTCTGTTTATGTATTTGACCCACATTTCGAGGCCTACTTCAATTTTATCTCTTCATTTAGAAATTTGCTATGTTCTTGCTGTTCTCAATACCTATCGTCTTTATAGTCTTATAGACAGTCCTTTAGGATTAAACTTTTTAATAGGCCTTTAATGATTTTGTGAGTTAGCATTAGCTTCCTTGGAGATTTTGAGAATTCCCTGAAGAGGGTTATATTATGAATCTCTCCTTTATCTCTTCCTTTACCCTTACTGCCCAGCGGAGTGCGGAGTTCACAGAAGTACTCAATAAATGTTTGTTAACTAATTGATGATTTTCTTAAGTAAATCTTTGTCCAGTGATGGGAAATGAAATTAGAATTGAATTCTTATCTTACCAGAAAGAGCAGCACATAAATTAGAATTGAACTCATTAAGCAGACATTGAATGGAATTTCAGAGAAAGGATATTATACCTCATTTTGTATGTATTTTTACTTTTTTTGAAATATTTCCAAATTTACTGTTATACTATATCTCAGAAGCTCTGAAATGCCTGAAAGAAAGGCATGTGCATTGTGACACTGTCAGCTACTTATACAAATTCTGTTGCCACTGTTATTAAAAAAAGAAGGTTCCAAACTATGCAAACATGCTCACAGAATCAGATGTCATTTGTCTGATTCCTATGGTGTCACCATTTGTACTTTCAAGTTAAAACCTGTCTTTATAACTCTGTGCTAGACTTAACTTCCTACTAGCATATCAGAACTCTATAAATAAGTAGTAGTAAAAAATTTAATCCTGCTCTCCACAACACAGAATTGGAGAATTAATAGCCTTGAACTACTATCGTAGACTCCTGTGAATTCTAATCCTGCAAGAACAACATTGCCTTTCCTTTTTCCTTTTCTTTTAAATAAGTAGTAATATGACAGTAAGAATAGCTTTTCAGTCTACAGTTCAGCTATAATCCTTAAGTGGAGTTTTTCCAAATAGTTCTTAGTATTTTCTAGGTTAATCTGGAAGACCTTATAAATATATTCTTCCTTGACTGGGCCAAAATGTAATCATTACTACTCTTATTTTCCTAATATGTATACAATTTTCATAAATGAATAACACTCTTATCAGTAGTCAATAAAAGGTTCAGAGGTGAACAAAACTGCACAAAGCATTCACATTAAAATATCATAGCAAAACTTAATGTATTATAGAAAGTAAAGAGATGACACTCGCAATGATCAGTAAAATATGGTTTGTTTGTTTTATTTTTCTAAAGAGCATAATGTAGTGTATAGAAGAATGTGTTAAATAAAATCTCCTTTTTGGAAGGCCATATTTTTTAATCAGACTTTAAAATATCAAGAAGATGAATATACTGACTATTCAGAATGATGATTTCCTATGAAAAGTTGGAATTTCAGTGGAAGGAATTCCCAAAGAAAAATATCTGATAGTTTTCCAACATTACTATATATATGGCTTTTAATATACTTTTTAATAATGCCTATAAGCACAATAAAAATTCTTAGTAACTGTGGTAGATGGTTTTTATAAGGAATGCAAGAAAAACTTTAAAATCATTCTTACCTCTTTGCTTTCTTCTAGTTCTGACTCACTGCTGAACTCCTCAGTATTTAAATTTTCAAAGTCAGACTCTCCAACAGCAATTGGCACCGTTACAGTGAGGCTGGGATTGTTTATGAATGACATATAATCGTTTTCATCAATTACATATTTTTCAGCACTGCTTCCAGTACCTACACCACTGGTGGTTCCATTCCCATCTTTAAGATAATTAAGCTCTTTGCTTATTTCAATTCCAGTATTATTAGACACACAGCTGTCTATTTTGTTGCCTTCATGGATTTCTATAACTTTTGGCTTTCTGAAAAACGTTTTTTGGAAACACTCCCGTATCTTATTTTTCACATAATCAATTCCCTTTTGCATCCTTCCTACTGCAATCTGGAGATTGTTCATTTCATTATCATCATCAGTAGCAGCAAGATTGTCTGAGCTAAATGAACTCAACAATAAGGCCAGAAAGAGGTTCAGAACCTAAAAGAAAAAAAGAAAATTTTGCTGTATTAATATTGAAATATGTATAAACATAATAGTTTAAGCAGAGGAATTACAGCTCTTTGCTAAAATTAATTCAACAAATGCTTCTTGACTGTTTGCTATATTTCAGACACCTTGTCTTAGTCACATGCTATTTAAAGAATCTGGTACCTTCTACCTGCTCAAAGGGCAAAATGGTAAAACAAACGATTTCCTTTCAAACAGAGGACAACCAGGAAACTGGAGCTTCTGAGATTTAAATTGTGTCTACTTACGGTTGCTAGTGAAAACATAAAATCCCATTTTTGTGGTTTTGGCCAAAGAGGAAAAATGGGATATTTTCATTTTAGTCATTTTACCAGTTTGTCTAGGGAATGTCTAGCGTTGTGTGTGTAAATAATGAATGTATTTATTAAATAGCCTGATGGATTGTATTAAAATAATATACTTGAAATGTAAATTCCAATGGCCAAAAACTTTTAGAGCAAACTAAAGGCAGATTATATAAGGTTTAACACATTTCCCATCAATATACTTTGAAGTATATGTGTCCAAATTGTTCAACAGATGGAGAAAAGTCTAAAATTATTCCAGGGTTTAGGCTAGACCCATATAATGTAAATTACTTTTCTTTTTCCTCTTTTTTTTTTTTTTGCAGAAAATGTGGTGAAATCTCAGTATATCATTGGGATACATGAAGGAAAATATTATCCAATTAATTGGCAAAATATGATTAATGCAGGAATAATTCATTGTAACTGATGCAAAAGAAAATTTATAGGAATATTTTTAGCTTGAAATGTAGTTACTGAATTTCAAAAAATGTTACATGGTAGGAAGACACAAACTTAGCCAGAACCCCAGTTTATTTCCTATTTTTGTATAAGATTTGTCAGAATCTAGAACTTCCTTATTTACAATTCTGAAAAAAGTTGCATGTCCACATATATCCCACAAACCATTTTTTAAGAAATCTCATTTGATATGTACTTCTCAAAGGAAAGGTTCAGAATGATGACATAAAAAAATACTCTTGACAGTGCATAATTGAAAAATGTAAGCATTAAAACACATAAACATACAAATTGTGTTTCTATATTAGTGCTTTTAAGTCAGAACTAAAAGTTAGCCTTTTAAATCTGGTCAATGTTTATATATGTGTATAACTGAAACTACAATAATTAACTTTCCTTTAATAAAACAAATTCTGGGAAAAATATATTTAGTCCCCTTTCAATTTTTTTGGATAATTACAATACAGAGCTAAGATTTCATTGAAATTTGTCTTTAAAATTTGGTGATTTGCAACATATGCCTCTGAGTAAACAAACAATATGAACTATGTATGTGTAAAGAACAATTTCAACACAGAATAGTCTTTTTTTTCAGTGTAGAATTACTGGAGATCATTATCTTGTCAAAATAATAATAGAATAAAAAATAATTCAAGCCATAAAAATAAAATTAGGACAAATTAGTTTTGATGCTAAAAACATTTCTTTGAAGAAGGAAAACTAATATTTTTGTCCCAAGACTCTCACAGATATATATACCTCATGTAATCCTCACATAAGCCACAAGATTTCAGTTTTGTTATTCCAGTTTCATAGTTGGGAATTTGAGTCTGAGGGAGGTTAAGTAACTTGTCCCTGCTCAGATTCCTAGTACTGGGATTTGAGTCTACGTTGTTGCTAGTAAAACCAGATATGTCTGTTGCATCAGGCCCCCGTCCCACCTACTATCTGATCTTGTTCTTAATTATGAGTGTTTGTAATACATACGTACCACCAGGTTGCCAATGACCATGACCAGCATGAAAACAATAAGGCACATGGTTTGACCGGCGACCTCCATGCAGTCCCACATGGTCTCTATCCACTCTCCACACAGCACCCGGAACACAATCAGGAAGGAGTGGAAGAAGTCATTCATGTGCCAGCGGGGGAGCTCACAATCACTAGAAATCTTGCAGACACATTCTTTATAGCTCTTCCCAAAGAGCTGCATGCCGACCACGGCGAAAATAAAGACGATGATGGCCAACACCAAGGTGAGGTTACCCAGAGCTCCCACTGAATTACCGATGATCTTAATTAGCATATTCAGGGTGGGCCAGGATTTTGCCAACTTGAACACTCGAAGCTGTAGTCAAGTGAAAATGCACTCTTAGTACATCACAGTACATCTTAGTAATCACAACATAATTTTAAAAGTTAGACATCGTTTTATCAGTATGTTACACTGTAGACCCACCTTTAAGGAATATAAAATTTCAAAGCATACTAATTCAAATCCATAAAAAAGTTAATAATATTGGAATTGTAAATCAAATCATAATATCATTTAAATGCAAAAATAAGAGAGAAAATATTTCAGAAACGATAAAACATTTCTGATTTATCAGCAGATATGTCCATAAAAACAAATTAATATTTTAATTACAGACATTTGTGAATTTAGCAAACTAGTGTCACCTCTGATTATACTTTAGAGAGTAAAAAGAAGTATTGAAAGTATGACTTAAATATTTTAATGTATTAATGTATTATTTAATGTATTAATATTTTACATTTAAAATATAAAAGTAAATGAACTAATTTTGGTAAGCATAAAAAGTTCAGTTCAGTTGCTCAGTCATGTCCAACTCTTTGCGACCCCATGGGCTGCAGAACAAGACCCAGTTTCCCCCTCAGTCAGGCTCTCCCATCAGGAAGCTTCCATAAGCCTCTTATCCTTTTCCATCAGAGGGCAGACGGAATGAAAGCCACAATCATAGAAAAATAACCATAAAAAAGCTTGTATCAATTTTAAAAATACACATTTTACTTAATTTCCTATAAAAGTTTGCATATTTGTAAATAATTTTTTTGCCAAATTCAGCAATTTATTATACCATTTTCTAAAATGCTAATGGGAACACATTTTCGTCTGTGTTCCTTTACTAATATAAGTTGATAAAAAAGATTAATTGGGTGTAAGCTTTTTATTTGCATTTCTTTATAGACTTTAAAGCAAAATATTTTTAATGCATTTAAAACATAATTTTAGAAGCACATGTGTATTTTAAAATGTGTCTTACACAGCTAATAATTATGAGGTGTTTCAACCATTTTTCATCATTCTTGAAAAACAATCACACTGATTCATTTTTTAAATAAATGTTTTGCCAATGAAAGATAGAATGTAAACATAGTCTAAACAGATACCAGTCTGAATGATCTCAGTACAGACAGTCCCTCCACATTTGCCAGGCCAAGCTCCATCAAACTAAGGCTGACAATAATCCCATCAAAGATATTCCAGCCCTCTTGGAAATAATAATATGGATCCATGGCGATGATCTTGAGGACCATTTCTGCTGTGAAGATCCCAGTGAAGACCTAAAGTAACACAGAGAGCAGTACTTCACAAGCATTGACAAACTTTTAACATTGAGAATTTGTAAAGAATATTAAACTGTTATGAGTAAAAATATCTAAAATTTAAAGTGAAGAAATGTGACAAAAAGATATACAAGTTTAGCATTTTTTTTTTCCTGGGGAATATTTTAAGTGGGTTTGTGTTATCTAACGAATCAGCTAGATTTCCAAGATGATGCTGAATTTATAACATTTCGTTGTCCATATTTGAAATCTGAAATTAAATAATTAGTACTGATAGTTATTATTAATAGCTACTTATAGCTATTTTGTACCCTATGCTTCTACCATAATCACAACCAATTTTCAAAAATATGGCAGTAAGAACAAATCTATGTATTATTGGAAGTCATTCAAAAATTACTTCAAATCAGGAAAAACCATATTTTGTTCTTGATTTTTATGTTGTTTTATTCATGGGACACCATTCTTATTTCTATAATTTCATAAACATTTCTGAAATAAGAATGAGTTTGCCACAAATATATCTATAATAATTATCTCTGGATTCATGCCTCAGAATTAAGATTAATTGATAAATTGGGCAAGGAACTGCAGATTTAATTGAAAGCAGTAGGAGAACATTTTCAGTATGCATACACTAACAATTAGGATTAATAAATTATTTGAGAGGCTGGATGAATGTCTATTTGAAAATGGTTTTGTTTTTTAACTCAAAACCACAGGCTAAGACACCCAAGGACATGAAGAGCTATGAAATTACTCTTGGAAAAATTCTTTTAAAGCAATTATCTTAATTAACTATAGATAAAAGCTGCATATTATGACTAAAGCATTCCACTTAGCAAGGTAAATCAGCCTTTACCTTGAATGAACTTTATCAAAATAACAGTATCAAGATTATTTGGTTTCCTAAAATATTAACTTAAGGAAATCTTGATTCACTCTTACAAATGTGTAAATGCAGCTAACATCTCATTTCCCCAATCACAGAAAAACCTAAGGGAAATGCCCATCCCAGAAAAAAATAGCTTAACTTCAGTTATCATTCATTCATTCTAATAGAAGTAAAACATAATTCAAGTAAGCTTAGTGCATGAAAATCCAGATATGTGGTATAATGCACATTAAAAGTGTTTTTTTTCTCTTTTATTTTATATAAGAACTCCCCCTGGAGTATTTTTTCCCTGGTTAATGTTAAATAAATTCTGAAGTTTTAGGAGCAGCTACTATCTAAATAAACAGCCTAATTATAGAAATATATTAGTTAAATTCAGTTAGAAACAATCGAGGTAAATATCTCTTATTTTAAAAACCCTTAAATTTCAATTCCTTTTAAATTTATAAAAGGAATGTCTTAAATTTATATTCCTATAAGTTTATAATCATGAAGTTTATAGCATGAAACTTCTATTTAAAAACATTTTAATTACAGTTTGCAGTTTAATGTCATAGCCTTTTATCTCTTTAAATGGTTTCAATTTAGGCCCTAAAAATCATTGATAACTGTTTTTGTTACATTTCAATCTAGTTCAGCATTGTCAGTGGTTAGGAGAAGACTAAGACAGTTAGTAAAATCATCAAATGTTTATGGTTTGGACTTAAGCTCATTATATCTTGTCTTCTGTTGGAACTTTGTTTTTCGAAAGTTTGGATTACATGCTTCTGTAGGCACTCATTCATTCATAAAAAATTGCTAAGTACTTACTAGACATTGTTTTAGGCTTTGAAAATAAGTACAGTGCTAATTAAGACATACAAGTTGAAATTGCAAACCCAATTCATCTAGGCTGATAAATTTCTTATGGACAATACATTTATAGGTTTCCTAAGCAGCTTCTTTAATAAGGAGACAATTAATAATAAACAGGACAATTAATAAAAGTGTAAGCACCAAAGATAGGGATGGAATCAGCCTGAGAGTCTGGACCAAGAGTAAATAAATTGTGAGCATTTTGGGTTGTTTTGAAGGACACTAAGTTTGGATGATCAAATGTTAGGGGTTAAGGTCTCAATTCAGGGATAGGAACATTTCCTACTGAGTATTTACTTAGAGAGGAAAGTTCTGTTGATACATCCATTAAAAAGATAGAAATATTCATTCTAAAGGCTGAAGCTTGAATATTGGTCAGTTTGCTCCACAGGATCTCTACTTGTCCAGACTGACATTCCATTCTTTGCAGTGAATTTGACATACCTGTAGCCTCCTTTCATTCCATTATGATTAGCTTCTTGTTTTAATACTTCTAGTTTTATCATACCCATGCCTTTTGGATTTGTACCTTTAAATATTTGTTGTTCATTCTTTTTTGGAGGATGAAATTGAAATATATTTAAAGGAAAATTATGGGAAATCAGTCAACATTTATGATTTTCTTTTCTCTCATCTGTCAAATGAGGATATTGAGATGATTCATCAGGTCTGTGTTTAATATTCTTCTATTTCTATCAGTATATTTTTGCTTAGCAAATTTTATTAGAAATTGTGGTGTATCCATAATTATTGTTACATAACAATTTTATTAGTAGTGGTTATTAAGGGACAATAATCAATTTTCTCTTATACTAGGAAAGGAATTAGGTAGCCAAATAGCACTTCTTCATTGATGCAAGAGGCTTCATAGGTGAGTTCTTGAATTTGGCTTCTAATGATTTTATCTTTCAATAAACAAAGCCATTTTTTTTCCTTCAAAGAATTATGTCCCTTTTCTAAGATTTTGTATTCATATCCTAAACCACACCATTTAATTAAAATAATTTGCTAATCATGTTTCTTTAGCCTTTTATGTGAAAATAGCCTATAAAATCCTTAAAACAGGTATCATTTTCTAAGTTCCCATCTGGGTCTAGCAGAATAGAGGGATATCATGAATCTTTAATCTCTAGTTGTGAGAGTTGCAGTAAGAAAAACAAAGAAAGAACGACAGACAGATATCGATAGAAAGTAAAGAAAAAAAAACAGACAAGTTAGAAAGAAATATATAAAGAACGAAGGAAGTAACCAACCAACTATGATGGAAGAAAGATTGCTTACAGAAACAATAAAAAAAATGAACACACGTAATAAAAAGTAAAAAAAACAAACAAAGAAACACAAAGGCAAAACAGAATCTTAGAGAAACTCAATAGAGATTTGAGGTCTCTTGAAACTTAAATTTGATCAGTGCAATCAACAGGGAAATGATAGAATTTTTATATGCTTCAGCAGAAGGAGGATACAAAAAAGCACGTTTATCTAAGTAAAGACTGAAAGTGCCACAACCCTTTTATGGCACATTCTTTTGTTATTAATTCAGCCAGAAACTCAATTTCCTTATTTATAAGGCAGTATGGAATCATTTGAATAGTAATAAACTAGTCCAGAGAAATTTTAAATTGACTTTAATAAGAAACCTATAAAGTCTTCACAAAATATGCAATGCAACACCCATCTATGGTATATAACATAGATCTAAAGTCAGCTAAGTACCCATAATATAAGCAATATTTCTCTCTCACACAGAGAGAAAGAGAGAATATTAATGAGCTTTTAGCCAGTAGTAACAGTCAGTTCACACATTAGCCTGTTCTTATGGTTACAAATAGTTAAGTGTTTCCTGTCACCTGTGCTCTCTATCTTCATGAGTCTTGTTTCCCTAACACTAAACTCAGCTTACCCATGGTTCTGCTACAGTCAACCACTGATCAGTTTTTCACCTCACTTCTCTACCTCATTATCTCTACTGATACTCAAAGTGATAGCTTTTAGCATGAGGAGAGACTTGAAAAATTGTCTAGTCCCAATACATTGTACTCATGAGAAAACAATATTTGTGACTTTTTCAAGATCAGATATTTAGCACAGACAACTGGACCTGGATCCAAATTTGGTGTTTTAGTCTAGTGCTTTTCCGTCTGATCATCCTATAATCCAACATCTCTTATCCTGTGCTTCCACACTCCATTGCTTCAACATCAAAATTCTTTAAGACCTCAGTTTCCTGCATCACTCTGACAAATTTCCCAAACTGTTCTAACAGTTCAACTTCCCTAACTGTCCTGGGAAAAATACAGAGCTAGAACAGAACTGTTTTCCATCAGTATTTCAAAGAAAGGTTAATAGAGTACGTAAGAGGAAGGAAGCTGTTTATTGAGCACGTGCTAGATGCCAGGCAAAGAGTTGTGTTTTCACATTATCTCATTATACCTTCACAACAACTCTGGGAGATGAGTATTATTATATCCATTTCAATAATAGAAAACAAAGACTCAAAATTTTTTATCATACTTGTCCAGATGCTACATTATTAGTAAGGTCAAACCCAGTTCTACCTGATTCCAAAGCCCATGTTCTTTTATGGGTAGGAAACAACCAGTTGGTTATTTATCAAGTTACAACCATGTAAACACTCTTTGAGAGATACAAAAGAAAAGTAGGATGTGATCTCTGTCGTGGGGTAATATGTAGTGGAATTGAAAAACAAGAATTATGATGCAACAAGAAAATGTTTAATGTTCAACCATGTTCTGTTCACAGAAATGCATTAGGAGTTAAGAACAGTGTGCTCAGTATGGACTGAGAGTCATATTAGCGGAGAGATGAAGCTGTGGTTGGACCTTAAAGAATATGAAGAACTGAGATGAAGTGATTTGAGTCAGGATACTTTAAATATGAATATTGAGAACAGTGAACTACTTTCCCATATATAAACATATAAACATTTGTGGGTTATAGTGTCAAGGCTGTTCTGAGAAGACTGGTGGTGACTGGTTAGGAAACAATGGAAAATAAGATGGCATAGGAAGGATGGATGGGATTAGAGGGGGAGTGTTAAAAACCAGGTAAGATTGTTGAACCACAAATATAGACAATAGATACTTTGGCAACGTGAAAGCCAAACTGAGTGTAGAGTACAAGAAATACAATTTTAATGGTAGCTATAGAGGTAAAAAAAATTGACACCTAGAAAAAGGAAACAATGGGTCTTGATATAAAATTGTATATAAGAAATAAAAGGTTTCTATTTTGAAGCTGGAAGCCTGTTCGAAACTGAAAGGCTACTACTAGAGGTAACATAAAACTAACTTGAAATTTTTAGGGCTTTCAATAAACTGTGAGAAAGATCATCTTTCAGATGTTTAAAGTTATCCTGGGTCAATAATCTATAACTGCTAGAAATACAGAAATAGAACACAACTTATAAAAGTAGATAATACCTAGAATTGTTGAGTACATACAAATATTGAGTGAAAAACATAGCCTTAATAGGCAAAAGTAGAGAAGTCCAGAAAAGGAAGCAGAGATATAGAGTGATTGGAAAGATGAAGGAGCCAATCAGACAAAAAAAAAAAAAAAATCACAGGTGTCAAAGATGAAGGAAGTCTCAAGAATCTGATGGGTGTTATACTGAGTCAAATAATACATGAAGGTGAGGTCACTTATTGAAGTAGACACTTAGATAGTTGTTTGCCCAGTATTCCCTTTCTTCTTTCTGTTGGGAATTAATCCTCCACCTGTGTAATTCCTCAGAACTGCAATTTTCACATGAATCTACCTTCGCCAATGTTGGTTAAACCAGAGATGAGCATCTGATCCAAGCTATGCTAAACAGAGTCCTATCACGAGAGTCTTTAAACTGGAACTGAAAAAGAGATTCAGTGTTTTTCCATTGCAGAGGTTATAAGATTTAGCACCAACAAGGTATGGGTGATCATATTTCCTGACCTACAGACAAAAGATGCAATGAATGGTTGGGCTGCATCCAATCCCTTGGTTAAAGCATTTCCTGAAGCCCAGTTACAAAATTATCCTCATATGGTTTGGTAATTCATCTTTTTCTTTCCATTTCATGAGACAGTCTTTTTATTTTCCTCTTAAGCTATTGAACTCTGTTTCTATCTTGTGCTGGAAATAAAGGTCTTGGTTAATAAACTATGTAAATTCTTTTTTTACTTGTTCATCCATTTCAGTTTCTTCATGTAGAAGGAGAAATGTAAATGTCGGCATAAACATATACAGTTGTCTACCCAAGTAACATGAACCAGAGTGTGGCTAAATTACAAATGCATTTTTATCAACTATTTCTTCTCTGTGTGAATTCTACTGAAGCATTTTATTAGGTAGTTCAATTTGAAACAACTATGCCCTCCTTTGCACAGAAATCAATCTTTAGGTATTCCCTTCAAAGAACTCTTTCTTCATAAGCCGTGTGTGTTAAAACTGCATGCTTATGGAGCCAGAATTAGACCTAATGATTTCTGTTTTTTTCCAGTAAGATTGACAGTAAAGACTTTAACAAGTTTACAGAGGGTAAAACACCATGATCAATCAGCACAGATGTTGGTCTCAACAGTCAGTATTCATACCAGTTGAATTCTAGACCTTATCCCTCAGAATCCCTTCAATATTCCTTTAGATATTTCTTCCTATGAGGAAACAGTGTATATAGTTTAGGGGGTCTGCATATCATAAATGGATTTCTTCTTTGGTCTATCTGGCCTATTTCTGACAAAATAAATAAGTAAACTTCAAATGAACTCACCAGGTTTCCTACAGTCAACACACTACTGAATTGACCAGTCATTGGGTAGTGCTCCATGGCCATGAAGAGGGTATTTAAGACAATGCAAATAGTGATGGCAAGATCAACAAATGGATCCATAACAATTAAATTCACAAGATGCTTTACTTTTAACCATGCATCACAGCAGTCCCAGATCAAGAACATATTGGCAAATCTATACCAGCATGGTGGACATTTCTGCCTAGATTCTTCAAGTTCTGGGGGAACAATAAAGAATGAGATAGTAAATAACAATATAAACAAATTACTGTTGTAGATTATACATTATTTGATAAAATTGACACTTTTACTTGGGGATGGAAGTTCATATTAGTTTAACAGACTTGAGAAGACAATTCCATTAAATATTTTCACAAAATATTTATGAAAAATGTCTTTAAGCAGAAAAAAATACTTCAAATTCAATATTTTGCCTCAATTTAAATAAATTACCTATTAATTAGGTAATGGGTTATTAAATTGCCAAATTTTCTTTATCAAAACAGGATTTTAAAGTAAATTTTAGAGTACTATTAAATGTATCAATTACTGTTTCTTTTGAAAGAGCTTTTTCAGAATACTTTCTAAAGCTATGATCCTTGTTAATATGTGTGACCCTTTCTTCTCTCTGTCTCCACATCAGCACTGATCTTTACACATCGACGTATGGTATGTTTTTCTTTTTAATATAGATTCAGCCCCAAATCTAGTTCTGTTATTCATATTCACTCATTTTTCTTCAGAATTCTAGCCTATTAAAAAGGTATTAGTAATTTAATGGGTACTAGTAATTTAATGGGTGAAATATATATGAAATATATGCCCATTTGCATATCCAATATGCCAATAGACTAAGGTACAAAATATAACTGAAGTTTTCTAAAGAATTTATGTTAGATATGAATTCTGATTGACTTATAAAATTACAGTACTGATGTAATATTCCTCCAAACTTGAAGAAATGGGGACTTATTTAATGAATGAACAAGGAAGTAATAGTTGTTGTCCATTCCTGTGTGTCAAAATCAACAGATATCTTCATCAAAGGAATGTAATGGTTTCTGTGTATGTGGAAGATGGAGGAAAGATCTTTTCTTAGGGTCCTGTGGAAATGGAACACAGGTTTTGATTTCTCCAACTCAACCCATATGCCTCCTAAACCCATCACCACTTCTGTGCCTGGAGAACAGACTGAAGTTTTACAGATGTTTCTTTGTGCTTCTGCATACAAAACTTAAAAAGAGAAGTTTTTGCTCTAATTGCTTAAGGGTAATATAACATAAGGATAAATCCTCTCTGATGAGCTATCAAGTGGTGAAATAATCACTCAGCAGATGAGAATTGGAATAAAAAAGAAATAGAGACAATATTAGTTTTGTAATCGATGTGATAATAGTATATTCCATATATTATCTACTTAGGTCTATTATACAGTTCTGACCTTGGGTAATTGACTTGTAATTCCATGGGAATAAGTAATAGTTCTCCAAACTATATAATCATAGAAAGCTGACTATCCCATGGCTGCCTTCTTACCCTCCATCGTGTTAGTCAGGATGCTGGCTATGCTCATGGCTCTTTGCCTTCCGGAGGAATCTTCTAGCATCTCCATTGAAATCTGGTAAGAACTTAGCCTTCTCTTTCTGACTTCCGTTTCAGTGGTGGTACCCTGCAAACCAAATACTGATGGCTCAAACCACCCTTTTCAGTGAGTAATACAACACAACATTAGCATTTCTTTGGAAGGTCATGCTACATGCAGTTTTCCCAAGTAACAATTTTCAAGTAATAATAAAATACTAATTTATTATTAAGTTATAAATACTTTCACAGGTGATACCCTACAGGGTTAAAACATGAATTTACCAGTTGGGTGCAATTGTATAAGGCAATTATGTTGCAGAAATATTTTAGTTTACCTGTTGGAATTTCCAGAGAAATTTTTCATAAATCATATATTATTTCATTTAATTCAAATGAAAAGTATTTTAGCTTTCTCATTGATTAAAAATCAGATTAATCTTCCCCCAAAACAAATAATAGTATTATGTAATATTAATATTAAGACTTATTTATTTTCTTTGAGGCTATATTGAAAATATTGACATATATGGGCAGATTTTTTTCTATGCACAAACACAGATGTACAATGAAATGTGTGTGCTTTCCTGAGATTTTTAAAATTATTTCCATGTGCCATCCTATAAGAAATCAAAACATTTTAAAGTCATTTAATAGACACCAAAACATTTTAGAATCACTGTAAAATATTGGCAGTTGTACCGAAACTGCCTGTTATCAATATGTTGGTCATTAAATTATTTAATTCCAGGTATATGAAATTTCCAGAATATGAATAGATTATTATACAATTCTGGGTGAACAGACATCTGTAATAGGTTGTCACAGTGCCCATTATTCTGTGTTGAATTTGCACATAGGAGTTTTCACCCCAAACTCTAAAAACCAGGCTCTTTCAACCTAAAGCATTTGACAGTTCATGGTCCCATACAGTTCAGTTGGTTCTCAAAATTCTATTGTCTTTTTCATTCAGTAAAATCATATGTTATTTTTAAGGACTTTCATTTTGGGGAAGTAGGATAGTATGACAGGCTAAACCACCCAGGCCTTGATCATTTCCAATTGGTGTATAATGTCAGTAGTAGCTGATTTATTATCTGTTATCACCTCTGGCGGATGTCCAGTAGGTGAGCTTAGAGCCGATGGTCCACCCACCAAGGAAACCACACCATTGCAATCCACAGTGCTGTGCATCTTCCCATTGGCCGGAAGCCCTGGCACCATCCTGGATGACATACTGGCCTGACTAACGTTACTGTTGCGTCGCTCTCCGTGTCTGTGCGGCACAAACAGTGAGTCTCTCCTGCTCTCGCTGTCTTCAAATGTACTGTGTTCATCGTCAGCAAAGTCATTTTCAGAACCGATATCCTTTGCCCGACCTCTGAAGCTGAAAATACTTGTTTTGCTATTGCGTCGTGGGGAAAACAGGGAACCACGGATACTTAACAGAGACTGGGGAGAGAGCAAGGAAGGAAAGAATGGGGACAGGGGACACAACTATTTAATGAAAGTCTTAATATTGCAAAATCTATTTGCTTTTGGGTAAGAATAGTCTTGCTCTTAAACACGGTTTATCAAATTTATAGAGAACACATATGTTTTGATATTTTTATTAAAGACCACAATACAAATTTAAGTAATTTTTCTGATTAGGAGTTCTAATATGCAGTTTACTAAGCGCATGACCACTTCATTTAATCTTCACTGTAGTCCTGTGAGGTGGATTTTGTTATTGTAATGTTCTAGGTGGGGAACCTGATGCTGGAAAGGACCAATGATTCTTTTTGATAGGTGGTTTTCACTCCTAAATGCTATAATCTGAAAGGGCATACAACTTGGAAAATCAGTTACAGTTCAAGTGAGACTGTTGGCTTGAATTTAAAATGTTTGGACCAACTATGTTACTTCTGGATAATGATTTAAAAACAAAGGCATTATCTCTCCATTCTCTTTTTTTTTGAGTTCTAAAAGGAAATTACTGTTATTTTCTGGACCTTCTTGTCTTTTGCACATGAGCATAAAAGCCACAAAATTTATCTATGATGCTGTCTTCTAAATTTGCTAAGTTTTCCAAATGGCTACTAATGATTCACCTTGTTTGACAGAATATATGCCATAGCAAACACAACAGAGAGAATTCTTAGATTGCTGTATAAATTACTATTCTTACTTAAAATTTAACACTAGTTTTAAAAATACTTATACGTGTCTTCACCGATAAGGGTGATGTAGAGGACAGCTTATCCTTCTAATATCAACTTAATTTTATTAAAAGGAGCTGGATGATTAAAAACTTTCAAACTTACATATATTTATGAATAAATCAAGTAGACAGTTTCTGATACTGGAAAATGAGAATTTAGCATGAAGTCCCTTCTTTCATTTGTTGAATGGCTTTTAAATCGGTAGCACCAAATAACTCTTTGTTTGTTTTAGCCTTGATGATAGTTTTCAAAAACATCTCTAGTCTCCTGCAGAATCTCCATTTACTCCCTTCCTCACTGACAATGGCATTTCCCATATTCTGTCCCCTCCCCTGCCCCAGCAACCTCTCATGACCTGTTCTAAGTCTCTGTATAGCTGGGTAACATATGTAGATACATAGACATACATATGCATACATATCCACATGCAACTGGAAATACACCTAGACCTTTCCTTTCTTCCATGAAGCTTCAATGTAAAACCAAAAATAATAATTTTAGCAGAAAAAACCATAAGGAAGGCAAACTCCCTCAAATTTAGTTTTGGTCCCTCTGCCTAATTAGGTCATGCTGATTTTATTATGACCCATTTTATTATGCCCTTTATTTTATGACTTTTCCCTGACTGCAAAGCACTAGAACAATTTTTTTTGCCCTCTGTCTCAGTGATATTCTGGAAAGATACTATTCATTGAGAAATGTGCTGTTCCTTTGGATTTGGTTAGAAATATTCACAGGAGTTAATGACTGCTCAGCTTATCCAGGCTGAGACTGTGTCTATGTGACACTCAGTTCATATAGCAGGTTTATCTACCCAATGTCAGACAGTAGCTAGACTGATTTTTCCAGTCATCAAAGTGATCGAGAAATTAGACATTGTGAAGACATTCATTCAGCCCTCAATAATAAGGAATGATGATGTTTTTAATCTCCTCACATTGAATTTAAATTTATCAAAATAATATTTTTATGTCCACACTCATGTTTTGAAACCTTGGTGTGTATTTTTAGGTCCCAGCTTTTTGGAATTGGGATTCAGTAAGCAGGGGTAGGACACTGTGGTGGTGGTGGTGATGTCTGATTCTTGTGATCCCATGGACCATAGCCTGCCAGTCTCCTCTGTCCATGGGCTTCTCCAGGCAAGAATGCTGGAGTGGGTTGCCATTTGCTTCTCCCGGGATCTTCCCAACCCAGGAATTGAACCTGGGTCTCTTGCATTGCAGACAGATTCTTTACCAACTGAGCTATGAGGGAAACCCCAGGACACTGGGATCTGAGAATTCAAACATACATTCTAGGTGATTCTAATGGCGGTGGACCTCACCCTGCACTCAGAAGAATGCCAGCTTTGAAAAGAAAGTGAAAGTGTTAGTCGCTCAGTCCTTTCCGACTCTTTATGACCCCATGGACTGTAGCCCACCAGGCTTCTCTGGCCATGGGTATCTCCAGGCAAGAATACTGGAGTGGGTTGCCATTTCCTTCTCTAGGGAATCTTCCCAGTTCAGGGATTGAACCCAGGTCTTCCGCATGGCAGGCAGGTTCTTTACTATTGAGCCACCATGGAAGCCCTATTACCACTTTGTCTTACACTACTTCCTAAGATGGTTCAATTCAGTCATCTTCACATACTTGTGTTAGAATAATGTCTTTGGAAACTTAAAGTCTGTCTACACAATACTGGGTGGGACTGTGTGGTATGTGTGTACATCTAAAATATATCTAGTACACGCCTTTAGTTTGAATGTTTTTATGTTGACATGTTTTCAGAGGCGTTTCAAATCCTTGGGCTTATTTGAAATTTCTGTTCACTCTTTGGAAAGTATAATAATGGGTGTGAGCACAGCTTTCAAGACAACAGAGACTGAAAAAAGAGGATAGCAAAAATAGTATTCAGAGAAAATAAACCAAAAATAACACACTAGAAGATGCAGCGGAATGCAGGGAATACCCACAGCTGTGGTAGCCCTTTCTCTAGGGAAAAGAAGCTGTTATGCATTATGGACCAAAAGGCCATCTTTCTTTGCTTCAGGCATGCCAAAATATGAATTCTGGGTATCTTTTTTTTGTCTTGTTCCAAGAAGGTAAATCTGGATTCTTTTTCTTAATTTTCAATAGCAAAAGGGAAAATTGAAGCATTTAGATGTAAGGACACAATTCTGCATGCAAGAACTGAACTTGAAATGAATTGGGAAATCAGAATGGAAGACACAGAGAATTTGAAGATGTTCTAATAGAAGCATGGCATTTCAAGTTAAGTGTATGTAGCTTATCAATGTTTTCAGTAAGTCAACAACTGCACTTGGTTCTAACTATGAAGCTTTGTTTTAAAATAAATTGCTTCCTTGTGTTCAAACAACATAGATAAAATCTTGGCAGGAGGATTCACTTTCCATTGTTTGCCTTTAAGTACTTTTTCATGTTGTACTATGAACATGTACTATGTATTTAAGAATAAAATAATATAATAAATGTAAACTATCATCTAAAATTTGTGTTAGTAGAGGACAGGGTACTCATAATTTATGGCTAATTGGCCTTAATGATTTTAAAGATATACTTGTTTTGAACATTATTCCATGTCCATTTTATGCTTCCTATTCCCACTATCTCCACTGATTCTCTTTCCTTTTAGAGAGTTTGTTTACACAACCAGAAACTGTAAAATGCTTCTGGTTTATTTTTGCCTGTGATTGCATTAATGTTTTCTGCATATTTGTACTGGGGTATGTAACTATCAATGCTAATAGGCTATTTCTTTTACTTTGCAACATCTATTGTCTATTTTATCTATTTATCTATCAGTCTACCTGCCTATCATCCTACCATCTCTCTCTCTTCCTATCTCCTTAACTATCTGTCTCACTATCTCCAAATATGAAATGAACTATATATAATGTATGTATATACTAATTCTGTTTTTAGTATTTAAACTCTTGACTTTCAGTTAACTTCCTATTGCTGTTGCTTCTCTTGGTTCGCTCAACAGGGGCTTCTTAGCTGCTTCTTGAACATTCTGGGCATATTACCACATCAGGGCCTTCCACTTGCTCTTCACTGAGCCCAAAGTACACTTCCATAGATAGCCTGTTCTCTTGCCTCCTCAAAATCTTTGCTGCAAGGTCTCCTTTACAGTCAAGGCTTTCCAAACCATCCTGTTTAATTTTTTTTAACCACCAGTTAGTGCTCTTCATTTTCTTTTCTTGCCTTTTCCCTCCAATTGTACTTATCACTTTCTGACATAGTCTATGACTTACTTATCTTGTTTATTGTCTGTCTCCTCCTTCTGTATAAAAATCTGTGAGGTCAGTGAATTACATTATTTTTGTTCATTGAGTTTTTTTTTTTTTCTAGAACTGTTTCTTTCCTCTTGTGAACCATAGGAGGTGAGCAATAAATATTTGTTGGTTGGCTGACCCAGGTTAAAATAATTAGAAGAGTTAATAATCCATAGCACATGAAATTCTAATGGAACCAAATAGGGTTCAAAGCTATAACTGTACTTATCACAGACTTCATAACTATTTACTCTTCATTATGCAACTGATAAAACTTATAAACGAGTCGATACTATTTACCCTATTTGACTTGAAAATACGCTGACTAATTGGGTACTTGGCATTAAATCAGAGCAAAAATAGCCCGTTTTTTATTTAATTTTCTTCGAGAGAATTTGGGTCATAATTTCATCCTAACATATCATGGCATGACACCATATCAGCATAATGGAAGATCACGACAGTACAGTTCTCACATCAAAAGATAGAAACGAAATCCAGAGACATTTCTTTTCAAAATTCATACATATCTTTCAGTAATGTATCTAATACATTAGATATTAGTAATATCTAATACTCAGATGTTAAAGGCAGAAAACCATATGCAAAAAAGGTAGGTTCATTTGAGGTCTCAAAATGGAAAAGGTAAACAAGAGATTACAAAACTGCCTCACTGAAGAAAAAAGTTTGATTAGATAGGTTTCACTCCTCCTACCTCCCAACAAAGCAGATTGAGAAAATGGTCTCAAAATACTATAGTGCTTAAAACTGATTACTGTAAAATAAAATTATTAATGATTTAATAAAACTATCTTTTAAAGACAATTTATGATATGCATTTACATAATCATATTAAATGTTAGTTCCCTGTGCCTCATTTACATCACGTACTACAAAAATATGCAAAGATACAGAAATGACACAACAAACTGGAATCCTTAGTAGAAAGCTGTACCTGATGAGGGGAGTAGAATTTCTTGTCACTAGTTAGTCGATTTCCATCCATGGAGAAAAGGAAACTTCTTCTTTTGACACTGTCCTCAGATTCAGACTTGGGAAACCTGTTTCCCTCTCCTTTGTTGTTTCCTTCAAGATTCTCCCTCTGTCTTCTTTTCTTTCTTCGGTTCCTCCACTCCTTAGCACTTTTGGAGCTTAATTTTGATGCTTCTGATGAACTTTCCAAGAGCTCTCCTAACCCACCTATTCCACTGAAATCCCTTGAGGCGGCTGATGCCGCTGCAACCGCCTGTGGAAATAAAACCAGGCACTATTTAGAACATGCGGCTTTGGAAAACTACGGTACATATGTTGCCATTTAATACAATGAACTATATTTGAAAATTTATGTCTTTCTGGTCATTTTTATGTTTTACTACAAGAGAGTTTACTTAATAATGATACATTTTTACATAGTATAAAGCAATATGTTAGCTTATGAATTAGAAAAGTCTGGTTTGGCACATCTTCTGAAGTCTTTTTTTAAAAACTCTGTTGAGATTAGCTTCATTTCAGGGAACAACTGCTCTCTTAAAAATATCTTCTACACTTTAAAAGCAAATGTTCTCTTAGTGGTGGTGTCTGGTCTGATTACTATTCCAATTCCATCCATAGGTTTGTTCCTCCCACTTGTGATTGTGAACAACTGAGTGGTATTTTTTTCTTCTAAATCTAGGACAAAAGACTTCTTTTTTTGTGAACTCAAAGCATTTAAAGTATCTACTTTTTACCTCTAGGGGGAAGTAGTGGGAATGTATTGACTAATTTATCCTCTTTCTTCATTTGAATCACATTCAGTACTATTATTCGCATTTCTGAGTTTGTGCATACTCATCTGCTCAGTCGTGTCCAGCTCTTTGTGACCCCATGGACTGTAGCCTGCCAGGCTTCTTTGTCCATGGGATTTTTCAGGCAAGAATACTGGAGTGGGTTGCCATTTCCTCCTCCAGGGGATCTTCCTGACCAAAAGATTGAACCTGCGTCTCCTTTATTGACAGGCAGATCCTTTACCACTGAGCCACATGGCAAGCCCTCCCACCCCTGAGGTCATATTAATCCCAGTGTCCACATGATAAATGTACTGCATAGCACTTTTAGCTTAAAATTTTTAAATGTTTATTTATTATTATTATTACAAATAATAATGAAAGATTAACATATCAGTCAATAAATACCTGAAATAATCATTCAAAGGATTATGACTACTTCAAATATTTTCTTTCCATATTTCAACACTGAGTATACTTAAGCATTTTAGTGTATGTTCTACTGAAGCAAGCACTACTTAAGCATTTTAAATTTCTGCACCTACTAAAGAAAGACAGCCACTTTGAGGTGAAACATGGCATGCCAAATCCTTTGTATTTTTATTTATGTGAATGGTATTTTTAGATGGGAAATGATCTAACCACTAACCAGAGAGGATATGAATTTCAAAGCTGAATTCTCATTAAGTATATTCCTGTTGATAAACATAATCATCAAAATGGAAATGATTAAAATATTAGACTACTGGTTCAACTCTTTACATATGTCATTACTGAATACAAACAACTCTAAAACAGCTACTATTTGTTCTATCTTCTCCTCTTCGCCACTAGACATATTCTTGTCTATTCCTATAGATAGGAATTCTGTCATTTGTGTGTGTGTGTATGTGTGTTTGTGTCTGTCTGTCTGTGTGCACATGTCTATTATGTCACTTGACATAAAAAAGACCCAGTAAATGTTTGGTGAATAAGGGTAAAAAAAGGCATTATACTGTCAGTTGTCTCAGATCCTGAATGGGGGTATGGGAAGAATAAGACAGACTTGACTTTTCAAGATCTCATAAAAGCTAGGTTTTAGAATAGACTATATAATAGAAATATATTTTAGAAAAGAATATAAAACTCATATTGAATGCTTTGACGACATTTTCTCCTTTGTTTTCTCCTTCTTGAGAAGCAGACTCTTTCTAAGTAGCTCCCATTTCTGAACCTCATCTCAGCTAAAAAGTTTTTAAAAGGTTTAAAACTAAAGGTACTATGATACACATTCCATGGGATTAACATGACCCCAGGGAACCACAGTATTACATATAGTACTAAATATATGTGTTGGGCCAAGGAACATGTAAAATGTTTATATTGATTGCTATATTCATTATGGAAACCCAGATCAAAAGCTTGATAAAATATAATCCTAACATTTAAATGAAACATTAATTCAGAATTTATATATTTATAGAATAAATAGAATCAGATATCCAGATTTTTTTAGATTGAATTTTTCTTTTTTTCCCTCTGAGCCATGTGGTATGCAGCATCTTAGTTTTTAGTTCCCTAACCAAGGATCAGTCAAATTAGTGCCCTCTGCAGTGGAATCTTTGAGTCTTAAACATTCAACCACCATGGAAGTCCCAATTAAATTCTTGATCATGGATATCACTTTTAGTATCAGTAATGAAAGATGATAAATATTAAAGGCCCTTTATAAATATGAGTAAATTTAATATAAAAGTATAAAATAAAGTGGATAAATGAAGGACTAATTTGAGCAAGTTAAATATAGTTGCATAGTGCTTGATACATAGGAGAGACATAATATACAGCATTCCTTGAGAGAATGAATGTATACATGTTTCTTTTTATCCAAATAAAGTCCTTAATTTTCCTTTCCACTTTGTATAGAGAAAAACATACAATGCATAGTGCCAAATCATTTATTCACTTGTTTTTTGTCAGGAAAAAAGGAAGTGGAAATGGTGGTAATAGTCTTTTGACATAAGTCTGAAACTCAGGTTCATTTAAATCACTTCCAGAATTTGTTTTGCATAAGACATGATTTCCCTACCTAGACTGGGTAAACAGTTGGAATAACTCAAAACCAAAACAGATTTTTGTAAGGCAACAACGGTAACCTCCCGACACAACACATTTTCTGTGTCACTCGTCAACTCGAATCTGTCACTTATTCCACTTCCAGGGATTTGCCAATTCCCTCAGAGGCAGATGTTTCCTGTCACCTCCCATGTCTGTGTACCTGTTTATACCCGGCTCTGTGACATAGCCAACGTCCTGCTTACTTAGGCTAATAGTGTTACTTTCACTGTGGGTTTGCTAAATTCTTATTGTAACAGATAACAAATATGTGCTTAATAGTTCCACAGGGAATAACATTTTGTTTTTCTTATCTCTGTGTGAAACAAAAGAGGCTCTATAATTTACTGTATCTGTGTGTCCTTAAAAAATAAAATAAAAAATGTATCTGTGATTATACTTCAGTGTAAACATAAGATCCAGTTTTAAAATCTCATTTTAAAACCTCAAGACATTAACTATACTTATTACAATTCTACCCCAAATTATATTGGGTCTCTTAAATGTCACTATTTCTAATTTTGTCCCAAAGTTTACTGCTAAATTTTTCCTATCAGGCCCATATATACTGCTGTGGAATATGCTACGCTGAGCACTTAGACATTTAAAGATCACAGATTAAATGCCAAACACAATTATGATGACATAGGACAAAACATTTCTTTCTTTGTCAGTTTGTCTTTGTCTTTTAAAGTTGTACTTGGTAAAAAAAAATACAGTTCTACTTGGTTTGTGAGCTGAATATGACTTTTTTTCATGTCTAAACAGTGACTAGCACTTAGAGGTCTTTGAATATATATTAAGTAAAAATGGAAATGATGCTAGACTTCATGAAGTCATTAGATAGCAGCTTTTTAAGAGTCACAGATGATGACCAGACTCATATTACACTGGAGCCCCAGTGATCTCATGGGTGTACTATCTCCCTCTCTTTCTGTCCCCACCTCCCACCTCTGCGTCAGCACGGGCTATTTACTGGTCACTGTTACCTGCATTGTCAATAAGGAAGTAAAATCACCTTAGCACTCGTGCCATCCCCGTCAATATTAAAACACTGGGATAAGTTACCCTGAAATCAGTTTAAACTTTTGTGTATATGAACTTAAAGCTGAATCAAATCATGATTTGCTCTCTGGACTCCAATAACTAACTTTCAAGTGAAAAGAACTGACATTTTGACTAACCTAATTAGGATATAGATAATTAGATTCTTTAAAATTCTGCTAGACAATAGTATACTTTTACTGCTAAATTTTAAAGATTATACTCTTTCAACTGATGTAATATTTTACCCTAAAATGGCTGCATTTCAGAAGACATTCCTACTCCTATACTGTAGGTTGGTTTATTCTCATGTACATTGCTTTGTCTGTTTTTGTAAATAACGATAGAATAACCCAATGCTTTAAAATACAACTAGTATGTAGTATCTGTCTATATGTGTATACACATATATATTATTTCCTATAACTTTTATTGTTAGCTTTGAAATGAAAAAATTCTTTGCCCTGTAGATAGCTATCATTTCATCATCTTACAAATGTGTTTTATTTGTAACAATCTGGAATAAACTCTTGAATACTTGAAATATAGGAGAAATTCCTGGCAAGCATGAGGTATACTTTATAAGTTACACTCAAGTTATCACCAAATTTATTACTTTTTTTATAGATCAATAAACTGTAACCATGATACTACTCTGTACCAGTATTAACAGAAAAATAGAGTCAGCATGTTCAGCAACTATTAAGTATATGGTTGGTCTGAGTAACCAGATAAGCAATTCACTGTCAAATCCATCTCACCAAAAAAAAAAAAAAAAAACCTCAGTAAAAAGTACCTATTGCTGTATGTTGTGCATCTTCAGAGTAACTCAGAATTATTAAAAATTTAAACTTCAACACACAAATTCCAAGGATATTCTGACATTCAAATAATGCCTCTAATGTTTGGGAACATCCATTTAAAAAAATCACTATGCACAAAATTATTTGGATTTCTGCTTCTGATTGAGATATAGTAACAGATCTGATTCACTCTTCCTCCTAAAACAACCACTAAGCAGCCTAGATACATGTAACAATGGTTTTGAAGAAATTATGAATGGGGGCTTGAGTTGAGTTTTCAGAAGGGTTTTCACATAGCTGCTGCTCCTGCTAAGTCGCTTCAGTCGTGTCTGACACTGTGCGACCCCTTAGATGGCAGCCCACCAGGCTCTGCCGTTCCTGGGATTCTCCAGGCAAGAACACTGGAGTGGGTTGCCATCGCCTTCTCCAATGCATGAAAGTGAAAAGTGAAAAGTGAAAGTGAAGTCGCTCAGTCCTGTCTGACTCTTCGCGACCACATGGACTGCAGCCTGCCAAGCTCCTCTGCCCACGGGATTTTCCAGGCAAGAGTACTGGAGTGGGTTGCCATTGCCTTCTCCTTTCACATAGCAGTAGGGAATAATTAGCCTTAGACTAAGTTCTAAGTTATACCTAACACATCTTCAAAGATTTGAAGATGGAAAAGGATCAAACTGTTTATAAGTAATTTAACTATGTTCCCCAACTAAGATCAAAAATTTTTATAGGAATATAAAAATATCCAGAACCCCAAAAGATCAAGTTTCAAGTGTCCGGAATTTAATCAAAGTTTGCCATAAATGTAAAAAAATCAGGAATATATAATCAATAATGAACAGAAATGATTAAAATTGAACAAGATCTGACACAGATGTTAGAATTAGCAGACAAGGACTTTAGGACTCTATAAACAATTATTATAACTGTATTGTGTGTGTTCACTATGTTACCTATGTGGGAGAAGTAAAAGAAATTCCGATCAAGCTTTTCAAGATGGGACAAAGACAAATCTGATGATGCAGAAGAAAAGATGATAAACTTGAAGACATAACAGAAACTATGTGAACTGAAATTAACAAGCTAATTCGAAAACTCATATGCAGCTACACATTTTAAAAATATATTTGACTAAGGATAGTCAATACACTCTTGAGAGAGAAAAATAAAGTTGGGGAGTTACCACTATCTGATTTCAAAACTCACTCAATAGCTACAGTGATTAAAAGAGTGTGGTTTTGGTGTAAAGAGAAATAAATCAATTGAATAAAATAGAATCCAGAAATAGAGTTACTCATGTATGGACAATTGATTTTGCCAAAGTTTCAAAGGCTGTTTAGTGGAGAAAAAATATTTTGTTCAATGAGTGATGCTGGAATAATTAGATATTCATATGCAAAAAAAGGGCTTCCCTGGTGGCTCCGATGGTAAAGAATCTGCAGTGCAGGAGACCTGGGTTCAATCCCTGGCTTGGGAAGAACCCCTGGAGATTGGACTAACTATCCACTCCAATACTGTTGCCTGAAGAATTACATTGACAGAGGAGCATGGTGGGCTACAGTTCATGGGGTCACAAAGAGTCAGCTATGAGTGAGCGACTAACACAACAACAAGAAATTTTTAAAAAGGCTCAGCTCATAAATCACACCACCTTACAGAAAAATTAGCTTAAAATGGGTCTTTGACCTAAATATAAAACATAAAACTTGCAGAAGAAAAATTAGGAGAAAATATTTGTAATGAAGACTTGGCAAAAATATCTTAGATGCTACACCAAAAGCATGATCAAAGAAACAGAAAAAAAAAAAAAACTTGATAAACTGCACTTCATCAAAATTTAAAACTTTTGCCTAAAAAGTACAGTTAGGAGGATGAAAGACAAACTAAAGATTGGGAGGAAATATATGCAAGGAATAGTTACATGAAGGACTTATTTATTTTTATACATAAAAATTATTCAATCTCAACATTAAGAAAACAACCTAGCTAAAAATATGGGGAAGGTAGTTTTGAATATTCACTTTACAAAAGAATCCATACAGATAGAAAATAAGAACATGGAAAGATGCTCAGCTTCACTAATTGTTAAGAAAATGCAAAATAAGACAGAAATGAAATACTGCTTAGTAGAATGGTCACCTGGCTTCCCAAGTAGCTCAGATAGTAAAGAATCTGCCTACAGTGCAGGAGACCTGATTTGATCCCTGGGTCAGAAAGATCCCTTGAAGAAGAGAATGGCAACCCCCTCCAGTATTCTTGCCTGGAGAATTCCATGGACAGAGGAGCCTAGCAGGCTTCAGTCTGTGGGTCGCAAAGAGTCTGACATGACTGAGCAACTAACACACACAGAGAATGGTCAATAAGACTGACCATAACAAAGTTGGTGAAGATGTAAAGGATATAATTCTCACTGACATGAATTGAATTTTGATTTGTCTTTCCATGACTTTCATCTTTCAATTTATGTTTTTTTCTTGTAATCAAATATTGTTCTTCTCTCTTATTTCTTCAAGACATGAATGCCCCATTCTCTATGCCCCTAGCCCAAACAGCCTTTAATATTAACGAAAATTTAAAGTCGGCCTCTAATAGCAGATGCCTTTCAAATATCCTGATACCCTATTGTGCAATAGAAATCCTGAAGAATGATTAAGCGTAGGTAGACATGAAGTGTTGAGTGCAAAATTTGAGATCAATCAATACAGAATAAAACTTCAAGTGTAATTAGGGGTGAAATAGGAATATTTGGAAATACCAGTTGTGTATCTTTTTTTGTATTAAACTGAAATAAAGTCCTTCCCTGAGATTTCATAAGATAATTGCATAGTTAACCTCATCCTGAATATGTTTTCTATCCTGAGCTAATTTCCTCATGAAAGTGAACGTGAAAGTCACTCAGTTCTGTCTGACTCTTTGTGACCCCATCTACAGTCCAAGGAATTCTCCAGGCCAGGATACTAGAGTGGGTAGCCTTTCCCTTCTCCAAGGGATCTTTCCGACCCAGGAATTGAGCTCAGGTCTCCCACATTGCAGGTGGATTCTTTACCAGCTGAACACAAGGGAAACCCAAAAATACTATCCCTTCTCTAGCAGATCTTCCCGACCCAGGGATAGAACTGGGGTCTCCTGCATTGCAGGCAGATTCTTTCCCAACTGAGCTATAAGGGAAGCCCTCAGTTTCCTCATATATAGTATCTAAAAAGTTACTTTGACTCTAACTTAGGAAACAATTTCAAGTTTTAATAGCTTTCTCTTTTCTAATGACAATGCTGGTGTGCCATGTGAAAAGCCAGTACCAATTTTACCTCTGTGGTACAATATGCCTATTTTAAACTAAATAACAATAACAATGATGATAATAATAATAAAGCAGCTCTGCTTATTATCACTTAGTACCTGAGCTTCTTCCTGTTGCTTTTTAATCTGTTCAAGCATCTGCTGAAATTCAGCTTCTTTCTGTTCAGCCTCTTCCAGCGTTGCCTGATTTTGTTCTTCATAGGCCATGGCCACCACAGCCAGGATCAAATTCACCAGATAAAACGAGCCCAAGAAAATCACCAGCACAAAAAATATCATGTATGTTTTTCCAGCAGCACGTAATGTCTAGGGGGAAGAAAAAGATCAATCTCAACAATATTTCATAAAATGTCCCCAAATAAAGATCTGCTTACGAACATTAGAGAGTCAGAAGACGAATGCTTATTAGCATTCGATGTATTTGACCAAGATTATTTTTTATTTTAAAATGCACACATATACACAAGTAAAATTATTTGAGAGTTGATTGTAGTGTCATTTGATGTAAGCATACACATTTTAAATTTGTACATATTGGATATACATTTGAGGACTACTAAAATGCTTTTTCTTAGAGTCTATAATGCAGGGAAATATTACAAGTAAGAACACTTTTAATTCCTTTCAGTGGAGTTACTACTCAGTCCACACTGTCTTTCCACATCATCTAGAGATAACATCTTTCTTGCCTCCTAGTGCCAATTAACCTTAAGTTGAATTTGAAATTTTTATATAATTGAATTTTAAAATCTTTTTACATGTTCTTGTTACATCCACAACTATATTATAAGCTCAAGTCATGAACATTCTCTGCATCCTCTATAGCCCCTAGGAGAATGCTTCTCAACAAAGAATCTCAAAATATGTGTACTGATTGAATGAACAGTTGGGATCCTAGGCACACTCACTTTATGATGGACCCTTCTCAGTATTTTAGAGTATTATAGACAAATGCCTATACTTGTGATTTCATATATGCTCATAAATTTAAATTCTATGCATGTTATTTTGAACCTTACTGCTGTGCTCTGGATGTGAGTGTCCTACTAAATCATGTGTTAAAATCCTAATGCACAATGCGATGGTATTAGGAGGTATGGCCTCTGAGAGGTGCTTAGGTCATGAGAGTGGGACCCTCATGAATGGGATTAGTGCCTAATAGAAAGAGCCTCCAGAGAGATCCCTAGTCCCTTCCTCCAGGTGATGACACAGCAAAAAGGTGTCAGCTTATGAGCCAGGAAGAGGGCTCTTGCCAGAATGCACTCATGCTGGTATATTGATCTTGGACTCCCCAGCCTCCATAACTGTGAGAAATATATTTCTGTTATGGCATTTTGTTATTGCAACCCAAAAGGACAAAGACATTTACCAGTTGATAAAGGTTCTCCCAGTAGTCTTGAGTCATGAGTCGAAATAGAGACAAGAAAGCCCAGCTAAAAGTGTCAAAGCTTGTGTAGCCATAGTTGGGGTTTCGACCAGCCTTCACACAGATGTATCCTTCTGGACATTGGCTGCAAGAGAGAGGCATGGAGCTGGGCTCAGCAGAGCAGTTATAGCTATTTGAATCCATATTGATTTATAGGAATTGTCAAAACCCAGAGTTGCTGTCTGTGATGAATTTTCTTGCTTTCATATCCAGAACACTTTAGGTAATTGCTCTCAGTGAAACTGTTATCAGATGAAATTTATTAGGAAAACCAATAGAAAACTTATGTGCACAGGAGTCCTATTTATAGACATTTAGCATGGCAGAGCAGAAATCACACATTTTTGCCTCTGAAACCTCTCTTTTGTGGCAGCAATCAATGATTAAAAATGAAAACACAGAAAACAGCCAAAAGGTAGGGACTACTTAATGAGTCACTTCATTAGCCACTTTGAATAATTTTAGATGTGCAGAAAAATTACAGAGTACTGAAACTTCCCATATGTCCTATGCCTGGTTTCTGGTATTACTAACATCTTACGTTGGTATGTTTTAATCAATATTGATACATATTATTAACCTAAGTCCATCATTCATTCTTATTTTCTCAGTTTTTCCTTAATATCCTTTTTACATTCCAAGATCCCACCCAGGAGGCCACATTTCGTTTAGTCAACATGTCGCTCTAAGGCTCCTCTTGGCTGTGACAGCTTATCAGATTTGCCCTTGTTTTTGATTACCTTGACATTTTTGAGGAATACTGGTCAGGTATTTTGAAGAATTTCCTTCAATTGGGATTTGTCTGATGTTTTTCTCATGATAGATATTGAGGTTATGGATTTTTGGGGAGGAAGACCACAGGTGTAAAGTATCATTATCCTTACATCATATCAAGGGTACATGCTATCAATATGACATCACTGTTGATAATAACTTTCATCACCTGACTTGAGATAGTGTTTGTCCAGTTTCTCCATTGTAAGTTTACTCTTTTTTTCCTTCTTTTTCTATCCTGTTCTCTTATTTAAAATAGTCACTGTGTGTTGCCTACACATACGGAGCAGGGAGCTATGATCTACCTTCTTAAGAGTAGAGTTATGTGCAGAAATTTATTTGGAATTCTACATGAGATTTATCTATTATCTCATTTATTTATCTATTATTCAATCTGTTTTATGAGTATATACTCATGGATATTCATTTTACACATTGAATTATAATGCAATTATATGTATAATATCATTGTATAGTTTTGCTTACATTGTTCCACTTTTGACCATTGGGAGATTTTCAGGTGACTCCTCTATCTCTTTGCCATAACCCATGGTGGTATGCATTTTGTTTTTGTTTGTTTTCCACAGTTTCTTACATTCTGGCACTATGATATGGTCCAGGCTCATCTTTTATATTTCCTGCCCCAGTCCTAGAATCAACCATTTCTCCAAGGAGCCTTTGCTCTTTTATTGAAGAGTGGCATTAGAAATCATGGTAAATGTGTGTCTGTGTTTGTGTATACACATCTGTCTCCTCGCCCTGCCAACTGAGGGCCCAGAAGCAATGACACTGCCTTGGCAATAAACATGGCACCCAGATCTTGGTTTCTAATATATACAAATAGCCACCTGTACCTAGGTTAGGCTAAACATGAGGTCATAGTCGTTTCTCCAACTTTATTTCATTATTTCTGGATCATTCCAGACTCCTCCCTTTTCTTATCTGTAACCCCTCACTCCAAAAGTGAGAAACCTGAGTTCTGTCATCTATTATCTATATACTTAATTATTCAGTGCCAGTGTACATGCATAATTGTTTCTGGATTGTTAATCCATACTGTGATGGGAAACAGCTTTATCAAGAAGAGTATAGCTCTTGATAAAGAATATAGTTCCTTTTGCCTTTAGTTTTATAGGCTCCATTCATTTCCAAAGTTACTTAGATTAGTACCTATTCTCTTCCTTCAGTTTATTATTTAAATGTATTTAGATACTTTGTCACATTCTGTGTTTCAACTTGAGATCTCTCATCCTCACACGATTAAAAAAATTTTGCATATAGTGTTATCTTTGTGCTGTAAAGTTTTGTAAATTTGACAAATACTTAATATTTACCATTTCAGAATCATACAGAATAATTTCGCCACCCTAAAAAATCCCCTATACATCACCCAGTCAAGCCCCTACCCTGAACCCATAGAAAACATTAATCTTTTTATTATCTCTATTATGTATCTTTTCCAGAATATCAGGCAATTGGAATTATATAGAATGTAGCTTTTTCAGATTGCCTTTTTGTTTTACTTATTAAGATGCATTTAAGGTTCATCAATATTTTTATGGATTGATAGCTTATTTCTTTTTATTACTCAATGATATGTCATTGTATGAATATACCACAGTTTGTTTATCTCTTCAGCTTTTCAGCTCTTTAGGGACAACTTGATTGCTTCTGGTTTCTTGTGATTGTGAATATAGATGGTATAAATAGATATTTACATCAAGCTTTTGTGTGGATATAAATTTTCAAATTAGTTAGCTAAATAATTAGTGGAGTAATTACTGAGTTATATGGTAAGACTGTGTTTATTTTGTAAGAAACTGCCAAATTGTCTTTTAAGTGACTGTACTCTTTTGCATTCTAGCCAGCAGTGAATGAATAAGAATTCCTGTTGTTTTGCATCTTCACCAGCAGTTGATATTGTCAGATTTTTTGTTGTTGTAATTTTAGTCATTCTAATGGATATATAATAGTAACTCATTATTGTTTTACTTTTCAACTCCCTAATGACAAGTGATGATGTTGAGCATCCTTATATATTCATATTAGCCATCTGTGTATATTCTTTTGTAGGTGTCTGTTCAGTTTGCCCTTTTTAAAATTGGGTTTTTTTTTTTATTTTAAGGGTGCTCTGTGTATTGGGGGTACACATCATTTATCAGATTTGTATTTTGCAAATATTTTCCCTACTCTGTGTCTTGTCTTTTCACTTCCTTTACAGTGTCTTTGCAGAGCAGAAGCTTTTAAATCCAACTTATAAATTATTTCTTTCAGGTATTTGCTGTGGGGGTTATATTTCAAAGCTCATCACAAAATCTGAAGTCATGTAGCTTTTATTCTATGTCTTCTTTAAGAATTTTTATAGTTTTCTGTGTTTTATATTTAGGTTTATGATTGGTTTTAACGTTACTTTTTGTGTATGGTATAAAGCTGTATCTAAGTTCATTCTACATGAGTCTCCAATTCTTTTAGCATTCTTTCTTGAAAGCACTTCCCTGTCTGTATTGAATTGCATTTTCTTTGTCAAAAATTAGTTGACTACGTTTTTGTAGTCTGTTTTTTTGAATCTCTGTTCTCTTTCATTGATCTATATCTAGTATTTCCCAATACCATATTGTCTTCATTACTATAGCCTTATAGGGAGTCTTAAAATGGAGTAGATTTCTTTAGAATTTTATTTGATGTTTAACAATAGAGTGACCATCAATTTTACCGTGTAAATTACCTGACATATACAGACACTCAATAAAGGGAAGTGATTACTATGGTTTAATAGAGATAAAGTATACATTAACCAACCTTATCCAAAATTTTATCTAGGCTTTTGCATTAACTATAATAATAAAAACAATAGCCAATGTGCAATAAATGTTTATGATGGACCAGGTGTTAGTCTGAGTGCTTTATATGTATTAAGTAACTGATCCCCATAACAACCTGAAGGGAGAGATGATATTACTTTTCAGTTTAGAAATAAATAGACTTAAATACAGAGAGCTTCACTGTTTTCCAAGGTCAAGAGTTTGTAAATGGTGGAGTTAGGATTTGAACCCAGATATATATATATATATAAACCCAGATACATATGAACAGTTGGAGAAGGGAATGCCTACCCACTCTAGTATTCTTGCCTGGAAAATCCCATGAACAGAGGAGCCTGGCAAGTTACAGTCCATTGGTCACAAAGAATTGGACATGGCTGAAGCAATTTAGCACACATACTCATGCATGTGAACTATAGAACTTATGCTCCTGTTCTCCACCCTCTCCTACCAAAGTTTGGGAAAACTATCATGAAAAAAAGATTCCCCCAAATTCTATCTCTGTTACTGGTATATGGTTTTAATAATCCTCTTAGATCTTTATGACCACACCAGTTTCCCATCTTCTGCTACTGCTAAGTCACTTCAGTCGTGTCCAACTCTGTGCGACCCCATAGATGGCAGCCCACCATATTGCTCCATCCCTGGGATTCTCCAGGAAAGAACACTGGAGTGGGTTGCCATTTCCTTCTCCAATCTTCTGGGATGACTCAAATATGTTCTCTGTAAGTTTTGTGATCTAAGAGTCACTATTGCTATCCCTTGGCTTTAAAAAATTTCACTCTATATCCTGAGTTATGGACTTCAGTAAAGAATCCACCTGCAATGTGGGAAACCTCAGTCTGATCCTTGGATTGGGAAGATCCCCTGTAGGAGGGCATGGCCACCCACTCCAGTATTCATGCCTGGAGAATCCCCATGGACAGAGGAGCCTGGTGGGCTACAGTCCATGGGGTCACAAAGAGTCAGACCCGACCAAGCGACTAAGCACAGTACAGCACCCTGACATAATTAATTTGCAGTACTCTTGGCAAAATATGTTAAGTATGAGAGACTAGCAGGATGACTAAGGCATTATAGCATCTCTTATTGTGTAATGTGACAGAAAAGAACTATAAAATATGCAGATGCAGACCAGAACATGCCTTTGACATACATCTGTCACGTGGATCCCTTGTATACAGGGTTTCATCCAATTTCAAGAATATCTGAGTTTCTCAAAGCATTTTTCCAACTGGGTTTGCACCCTGATGACCATGTTACAGCCTGGATCTTTTCCAACAAGGGCAAAACCTGTCCCATCAACACATCCTAACACCAGTCAAAATGTGCCCATTTTGTTTTTCCTTCCCTGTAATTCTTAACTGGCTCTGATGGGTTTACAGATAAGACAGACACTGGACCTTCATTCTTGAAAGAAATATTCATGCACATCTTATCTGTGAAATTCTGGATAAAAGGTCTTCACCCAAAAGGGATGATTTTAATGACTGTGAGTTTAGAATAAATACCAATCCCAAAAGATGGAGAAAGTACTTCCTAGGTAGGCAGCACCACTCTTTATTATACACATGCAAGGCTACCCATGTATATTTTCTTCCTATTTGCTTTTCCTTTTCCCAAAGTGTTCTACATCTTAAAAAAAAGTTTTCCTTACCCTGCATCTGATCCATTTCCGCACAGTAAAGGGTCATTTTGTCCATCCAGAACATAAAAGTGACCTGTTAATATAAAGAATAAACTATTTCATATCAATCCTGTTGACATTAGGGATAAATAGAATTTGTTTATCTGTTATTTCCAAAGTGGTCACCAAAAAAGTAATTTACAAAGATGGCTTCAAGCCCACAGCCTCAACTATTTATAGTTGAAAACTCATTCAGCAACACTAAGATTAACAATGGAGCAATATTTCTTACTGTCATCGTCAATGTAATCCTTCCAGTTAAATGTGCTCATTGTTACATTAACAAATGTCCCATTTGAATTCATTGTGCCATTAAAGAAAGAGGTGGTGTTGGTTTCAAAAGCAGAATCGCTTGGGGGCCATTGTAAGCATTTATTCCGCAGGTTGCCCATGAACAGCTGCAGACCAATTAGAGCAAACACGCTCAGACAGAACACAGTCAAGATCATGACGTCAGAAAGCTTCTTCACAGACTGGATCAGGGCCCCCACGATGGTCTTTAAACCTGTGGAGAGAGAATGAGGTCAGCTGAGGAAGAGTGTCACAAGCCATAGAGTCTTCTTAATAGTCATATACATTCTCTTTCCCCACAAACAGTTGCCTGTCTGTTTAGACACCAAAGCTTCATGGGCAGCCAGATGGTTTGGGAAATGGATGAAGAGCAGATTTTATTTATGAGCAGTGTGCTTTTTGGAGGTTTAAAATGAAGGGGTAAATATCTAGGCAGGAAGTTTTTTTTTTTTTTTAATGTGTATAGTTTTATGTGCTGCTATGAACATGTAAAGACAAGTTTGCAGTTATTTTTCACTTCACATTTTGCAGTTTTTCACTTCACATTTTGTGTTTCAGAAGGCTGTTTCTCTCCAACCATTTTTTAATACTAGCTTTCCAAGTTTCAGTGGTTTAGAGGAGAAAAGAATTTTAAGATAATTAACATCCCATGCCATTCAGTAATAATCTTTTCTCCTTTATAAGAGGAGATCCACTTTCAGAATGTATCTGCGGTAAACAGTAAAATCTAAATCAGTTAGTAAAGCCATGATAGCAAAACTTTTATAGGATGTAAAAAAGAAAACATTACATCATAAATGCACAAAAAAGTGGGTGAGAAAGAGAGCAAAACTAGTATTTTGTATGGACACCTCATGCAATTCTCTGTTAAACTCAAAGGCTGACTTTATAAATAAACATGTAATTTCATTTGGCATTCTTGAAGATAAAAAAAAAACAAACATGATAAGCAACAAGGCTAATATTACATGTGTAATTTCAACCTCAGTATTATTACAGTGTATTTAAAGTCAGCCTCGGTGTTTAACCTAGCTCTCACCTGGAATGACTGAAATTGTTTTCAATGCTCGGAGAACTCTGAAGGTTCTCAACGCTGAGACATTGCCCAGGTCCACAAACTCTGTCACATATCTGTAATAGGGAGTTCACACACAAACACAATAACAGAAAAGTTGGAGATATAAGGGGCCTACCATCTTACACCAGTTTCTTCTTACCTGGAATTACAGAAATAGTTTTCAGAGCTCTCAAGACTCTGAAAGTTCGAAGAGCTGAAACATTGCCTAGGTTTACAAATTCTGTTACATACCTGTAGAATTAAATCAGAGTTACTGATAGTTTTGGCAAAGTTTATACTAAAAAAAGAATGAAAAGTGGGTTGGTTTGGCATATAGAGCCCCTTGAATTTTACAGAAATGCTAGACTTCAGGGTGTCATGTGCTAAAAGCTGCCTTTAAGGAATAAAATTTTGCTGCTTTATTTCAGTACAGTTTTCACTAATATGAACGTTTGTTTGAAAAGCTAATTAAAGTACAGTTGGTGGTATTAAATTTATAGTCAATGAATAACTTCATTTTGATGAAGTAGAAGACTATGACATGAAAGTAATTCCTTTTATTGCTCATTTATCAGATACATTTACCTTGCAATATATATTCTAATATGTATTCTCAAAATATATGAGGCATATAGTTAACTTGGCTAACAGGCAAACTCTACATTTAAAACATGTCACAACAACCTGTTGTGCTACAACTGTTTCATGCCTTTGAGCTTAACACATTTTTAAAAATACTCACGCCATGACTATGACACTGAAATCCAGCCAGTTCCATGGGTCACGAAGGAATGTAAAATCCTCTAAGCAAAACCCTCTTGCCAAGATTTTTATAAGTGACTCAAAGGTATAGATTCCAGTGAATGTGTACCTAGGAAAAGCATCCAAACAAAAATTAACAATTTCATTTGAACTGTTAAAATATAGCAAATCTGCTTCTTTTGTGGTTTTTCAGTTCACTAAGATGGAACTCCTTGTTCCCACCTACAAAAAAATCTACTAGTTTAGGCTTATGAGTAAAGGGTTAAACTGAAGAGATAATCCTTTCTACTAAGAATCTGATCTTGTTTAAATATTTAGGTTTGATAGTAATAGTTTCATGTGTTTTATGGATAATCATCAGGCTTGATCCTCTAGAGTAACACTGTCCAACTGAAATTTAATACAAACTACATAGTTTTCAAATTTCTAGTAACAAAATAAAAAGAAGAAATGAGTAAACTTAATTTGCATCTTATATTTTATTTAAACCAATATGTCTAAAATGCTATCTCTTCAACAATTAAAAGTAGCCACATTTCAAGTTTCAAATTTCAAGCTGCGTGTGTCTACCTTCTCCCTCACTAGACAGTATAGCTCTAGAGATAACATTTCTTGCATTTGTTTATTTATAATAAAACATTTCATTCAGACTTCTTAATGATTAGAATAATTTGGAAGATATTTTATGTATCTAATATCAAAAATGAACTTCCCCTTTATATCCTTAAGATTCAGGCATAACGTTGTAAATCTGCTTCTCTCATATGTTCACCAAAAATTTTCAGTTCATTAGTACTCTATGTGTATGTGTCTACACAGCTACCAAAATTCAGGGGTAACAAAATTCCTGAATCTAACCTCACATCAGTTACTATCTCTATGCACTTGGGTCAAATCATTTCAGTTCAGTTCAGTCACTCAGTCGTGTCTGACTCTTTGCGACCCCACGGAGTGCAGCACACCAGGCCTCCCTGTCCATCACCAACTCCCGGAGTTTACTCAAACTCATGTTATTGAGTTGGTGATGCCATCCAATCATCTCATCCTCTGTCGTCCCCTTCTCCTCCCGCCTTCAGTCTTTCCCAGCATCAGGGTCTTTTCAAATGAGTCATTTCTTCACATCAGGTGGCCAGAGTATTGGAGTTTCAGCTTCGGCATCAATCCTTCCAGTGAATATTCAGGACTGATTTTCTTTAGGATGGACTGGTTGGATTTCCTTGCAGTCCAAGGGACTCTCATTTAAACATGCTCAAATTAAAATTTCAGTCCCCCAAATAGTGAAATACTTTTCTATTTGCTGTTTGGTAGAGCATTACCAGCCCTCTCCTTTGAATGTTGACAATATAAGTTATTTCTGTTTCTTCCAAAAATAGTTGGGAGAGAGTATTTGTTTTTCAACATTGTATTCTTTTTAAAAAGTATAATCTAAATTTGTTCTTCAGATTACTTCACTCAAGCCACAAAGACTGAATTTACTTTTATTAAAATTCACTATATTTTCCAGTCTACTAGTATTTTTCACTTGAAAAAAAAGGGAAATTATTTTTGCTTTTTTTTTTCCTGTAGACATTTCTCTCCTATGAGGGAGCAAAGAAATCACAGGAAAATGTATGTGAGAATCTTCATGTCTAATTTTCCTAGGAATGTTTTTCTCCTTTTTAAAAAATGCAATTGATTTCATGAAGAGTAAGTATAATTGCTGTCTTTACTTATTATGAATTAGCTGATTTTATTAGCAAGAGAGAGAACTTCCAATGCCAAGCTTATGGTTACTTGTGTTTTGGTTTGAATCTTTGTATATTTACATATAATCGCCATGATATTTCTGTTTGGAGAGATTCCTAGCTTTGCAAAAGACCATAAGAGACAGTTCCCATGTATGTTGTTTATCACATTAATAGATAGTGCCCTATGGTTTATGCTTAGGCAATTCTAAGTTATTTACAGGGTTGTTAGGAGCAAGATTACAGTCCTTACTCCTATTTCTGTTTTTGGGAAAGGAAGAAAATTTGTGGGGACATTTAGAATATATGGTGAGGGTTGATAGCCATCCAAGGAAGAGGGTCTTAGAGCTTAACATTTAATACAGCTTTGCACAGAACAGGTGTTCAGATATACCTGTTAGAAAACTAGATTGAATGGGTCAGTGAGAATCAAGGGGGACCTTGATTTTTCCTGGCTCTGACACCGCTAGGTCCTTAATCATGTTATTGATTCTGTTACAAGGTGTTTTCCCCCTGTAATTTTGATATCTATAGAAATGATTTGCCTTACATAATATGACTCTCACTATATAATATGGTCCTCGGTATGCCATCTCTTTGGATAGGGAAGATTTCTGCCATCAGTGACTTGTATTTTCCTGTCAAAACTGACTTCTCTTTTCACTGGACTGTATTTTTTTAAGGTTTTTTTTTTTTTTAACTGTAATCACTAATATTTTGTTTGTTTTCCTGCTGCCTTGCTGTCAGATGACGAGATAATTGATTAGGAAACCTGTGCAAAGTTTTCCAACTAAACGGTGTAAGTCAAAAGCTTTTGTAAAGCTGACTTTCCATAATGGATATAGACATCTCTAAAAATAACTTAAAAGAAAACTGCATATTCAAATAATAATATTTGTGTCCCCTTTACCTGCCTTTTATTAACATTATATAAATAAATTCATATGTGTTTTAGTATGTCAGTAATTTTTCAGGGAAAAATATATACAGAATAGTTTCATACAGGTATATCCACTTGTTAAGTCCCAAATTGTAAATGGAAAGTGAGAATTCTGTTAAATGGCTTGCCTCAACATAAGAACTGGATTCTCTACTAAAATGATTTCTAGGGAGCTTTTTCAATCTACTGTCAAAAAAGTCTTTAATATGTTAAATCACTGATGAATGATGGCTTAGAATGATTCTGTAAATTCTCTTAGAAATCTATAAAAAACAGAAATGAAAGTGTCAATATTTGTTATAATAGCTTATCTCCTATTGGACAATACTTTAAAAATATAACAGTAAGAACATACAATTTTCTTTTTCACTAAAATAAATACCTGATCATTGTATTAGCCCATTATATAAATAGACTGTCTAAGCTTAAACACCTTCTGTTTCACTAAAAAAAAAAAAAAAAAAAAAAGGCATGTTTCTTTCATGAATAATCTTATATGTGATTGACAAATTGGGGAATAATGCTGTTAAAATGCAAAGATTTTAAGTTAAAGCACAGTTTTCCTCAGCATATTAATGTTTTAAAATAATCAGGGGCAGCTTTTCCTTCACACACAGTTTTCCTCAGCATATTAGTGTTTTGAAATAATCAGGGGTACCTTTTCATTCACACTTATACAAAACATCCTAAGCAATAAAAGACCTTAATATTATTGCAGAAAAATTGACAGAAGTTCCTTCTTTAGTGCAAGCAGGGTGTAGATTAACATGCCCAAAATACAGTGCTTAGATCTTTCCCTCTGTATTAAAATATTGAATCAAATGTTTTACTTTGATGATATCATTGCCAGAGTCTCCATTTCAAGGGAGGAAGGACAAAGCCCAGGTCTAAGATTGCAGAAGGGTTGCTGGCTAAGACTTTAGGTACAAATGTCCAAGAGATTTAACTGGGCCAGTGTCTTTTTAATGGGATTGTTATGTTTTTCTATTAGTATTCTAATGACAAAGTTTTAAAAGTTATGAGAGATCTATCCATAATCATGTTTTCTCCTTAAGCCTTGTTATTATTTGAATATGGTTTTGCAAAGACATTTTGTTTCCTTTACAGATCTGTGATGTTTCTAGCACACATGCTGTGTCTAAATAATCTATGTATCTAAATATAACTAAACATCAAAATAACTTAAACACATAAGTGTTTTTTTAATATACTGATATAGTGTATAACTGAATTGCCTAGTGATATAGAGCTAAACACCTAAATCAATTTTATCAGAATATAACAATAGTAGTAATATACTAGAATCAAATAATTTTATTTATGCTCAAATGATCATTGTATTTTATCTGAAATGCATAATTGTGATTCAGTCTTAACTTTTATGATAAATGATTATTTAGCTCACCAGCTAGTATATATAATTTAATAACCTTTCTTAATCAAATGCTATCATTTGTTGGAAGAAATATCTATCTCATAGGAGAAATACGTCTCCCTCTCAAAAAAAAAATTCCCTTGTTTTTTCCATATTATGCAAATAATTATTTCTTAGAAGTGTTTAGTTTGACTTCAAAAAGTGGAAACCATAAGTCAGACCATAATTAAGAGATTGATAGAGAATTTTAGTGTGCATTTCTCATTACAAAAAATCATTTTTACTTACTCTACATTCTTTGTCCAGTCTGGAGGGTTACTCAAGGTCATAAATACACAGTTGGTCAAGATAGTGCACATGATAAGCATGCTGAATAAAGTAGATTATAGTTAAGGAATAAATGCTAGTACAATATTGTGGCCATTTACAAATAATTCAATACAAAGAAACCAAGTTAACCTGTAAAATTAATCTTACTTATTTGTTTTAAATCAATGACAAAGAAAAAAACGAAACTCCGAAGTCTGTCATATATTCTTTGTATTCTTGGTTCATTGTTTTTTTTTTTTTTTTCATCATTCCCTCACAAAACTGAATTCAATAGAAAGAGATCTCTGTTTGAAGCAAATGGGAATTTTCTAGTGTAAGTCTAAAAGTTATACTTCAGATACCCTTTAAAATTTCCACTGATGGACAAAAGGTTAATGAATGGAATATAATAAGCCTGAGAATGTATAGCCCTGTGTATTCAAGGATTACATTGATTGATTCTACTGTAATTAGGAACTCTAGTAGTCTTACAGTGATGGAACTTGTTCCTTTAGCATTCACCACATAAGAATAGAGGGAGAGATAAATTTTGCTAATGAGCTACTTTTATTTTCTAACTTTTAATTTTCACTTGGGAGTACAGGAACTTATTAGGACATTTAATTATCTTTCTGTATCTTGTCCATCCCATACCTAAATACACACTGTTTTTAAACCCTTTCTAAGAATTAGCTGTAGTCATTTCTCTTAGAATTTTGACCCAGTCTTCACTCTAAGAAAACTTATGATTACATTTTTTGAAGTAAATCTTTCTGTTTTAAAATGTAAATACTTTCCAATATCAAACCATAGAATGGGAGAATTCAAAAGCACTTCAAAAGGCTATCAGTCCTCTTTTCCCTGTCATTGTAAGTAGTTTTAAGTTCAATGATTTTTAAATAGATATTATCAATCAGATGCATAGATACATAGCAGTTTAATAAATATTTTACTGAAGGAGGAAAAGAAGGAAGGAAGGGAAGTCCAGGTGATGAAGATACAGAACCAATTAAGACACAAAAATTTGAACATTTGGAATATAGATAATAATACTAAGCACAGTAGGCTATGCTTCTTTAATGGTGGTTATATATGGTCTAATTGAGGTTAATAAAAGTTTGAAGGAGATTTGTTGCTGTTCCTGCTACACAGTGTTTCATTTACTACCATAGTTGTATTTTTACTCCTAGAATCATAATTGTCATTCTACATAACCTTGTTATAAATAGCAGAAAATCAATGAGTACAATAGGTTAAACAACAAAGTTACCAATTAATCTGAAAGAATCATATGTATATTATAAAAAGAAAGACATTCTTTATAAAATCAGCTACTATAAACAACATTTAGACAATTCACATAAAAAGGATATGAATGTACCAAAATCTTAATAGCAATTTTCCTAATAGGATTTAGTGGAGTTAAAATATACAAGGCAGAGGTGGCACTGAATCGGAAAATTGCCTTCCCTTTATTCAATACTATAAAAGTCTGAAAAAGAACACATGAGAAAAAAATTACTAGATTAGACGTGGCTTATATGAAGAGTTTACACACATAAAAATTTTTACCTGATTTGTTTGAACTGGTTTAAGCCAGTTTGTATAAGTATAAACGTATTAGATATCACTTTTTCTCCCCTAAATTAACATTTAAATACAAATAAAGATACAATGTACTATTATCTAATCTGTCTCTCAGGTATCAACTTCCCAATACACACTGATGATCCTACACAAAATTTGTATCAAGTTGTAAATTAACTTTGTGGACTCTAATTCTATTTAAGGCTTACCATCTGTCCCCAGTTTTGGTAACTTTTCAGGTTATTCTGTACATACTGCTATTAAAATGATCTTTTATAAATATTTTAATTATATCAAATCTTTTAACTCCAAAGTTTATGAAGCTATTTTCCCTGTGGTAGTTGTCCTACTTTAAAATGTTCAAACAGGCCGAATAAACTGGTTTTGCTTGCCCTATAGATCTGCTGTAATACTGAGAAGGACCAGCCACATTAAGAATTAGGCTGAAATGCATCATTTCACGGAGAAGGCAATGGCACCCCACTCCAGTACTCTTGCCTGGAAAATCCCATGGACGGAGGAGAAAGGAAATGGCAACCCACTCCAGTGTTCTTGCCTGGAGAATCCCAGGGACGGGGGAGCCTGGTGGGCTGCCGTCTGTGGGGTTGCACAGAGTCATACACAACTGAAGCGACTTAGCAGCAGCCGCATCATTTCAAAGGGCATCTGTCGCTAAATTCCTATGACCTGAAACCCATAGTCATCAATTTAGCATTTAAGCTGGGCTTTCCTGGTGGCTCAGATGATAAAGAATCTGCCTGTAATGCGGGTGCAATCCCTGGCTTGGGAGGATCCCCTGGAGAAGGGAATGGCTACCCACTTCCGTATTCTTGGGACTTCCCTGGTGGCTCAGATGCTGATTACCTACTAGGTCTCTCTGGAATCATCTTTTATTTCTTTTCCCACCAAAGCACCTTTGTTCCAGCCAATTCAATTCACTTGTCAATCCCACTTACTATCAACTTCTCACTCTGATTCTCAAGATGAGTGTCATAGAATCCTAGAGGAAGGAGGCACCTGAGAGGTCATGTAATGCAAACTTACTTTTGTTCAGGTCCATAACAGACCTGACAGTAAGGTTCCACCTACAATGACCCACTCTTATATCAAATGTTCTTAGTCCTGTCCACATGTTAGAATCTCTTGAGGTGATCTTAAAATTGCTATTATATGGGATCCACCAGAGAACAACAGAATTAATTTCTGAAGGATGGGCATAGACAATGGTATGTTAAACATTTTCGCCTGGTGATTCTGTATACAGCCACGGGTTGAAAATCCCTACTCTCCAGGAATGTCCTCAGCTGTCAAAATCATCTCCACCATTATGTCTTTCCAGATAAATCACACTGCCTTTTGATCACTCCCCAATTGTTTCCCTTTTCCAGTAAGTCTTAGTATATTAATATACACACATTGGCATGCTGCTTGTAATTATAGTCAAGCAGCAATTATTTGTAGAATTCATTCCACTGAGGACTAGCTTAGAAGTTGTTATAAATCATTGAACATAAAGAACCAGTTAGCTACTTTTTTCTTCCATTTTGTTTTTACACAGCATTTAATAGCCTGGTTTGCAAATAAACTCTTGTTTCAATTAAATGTGAGTTTACCTTTAAGATGCTATTTACTTTTAAGATATCTATTCTATATAACCATTTAGTTATGAATATGTTCTCACTATTCTCAAGTTTTACACCATCAATTTGAATGCAATTAAAATGCATTGTGATGGTGCTTGTGTGATTAAATTAACTAAGGACTGTATCCTAGATATTCATGTTCACTGACAACATGCTCTGTTTGAATAGAATATTGTGAGTATAATATTTACATTTAATGAATAGAAAATATTTATATGTAAGTATAAAGTGTAGAGAAAGCGACTTCTCTGCATGTTGCCTTTTTGTATTCAAGACCATAGACCTAACCAACTATTTTCTATGAACTGTAATCTATAGATTGGAAAAATGCTATGATGAGGGCAAATAAGCTGTTCTTTACTAGCACTGAGATTATTCACAAGGGAGAGTGGGCACTGGGATGCCTGCTCTTGAAACACAGATGCATTAAAGGATTTTTTTAATTCATAGGATTAAATCATTTATTATTGTAGTCAAGCAATCTGGGTCTGTTTAGACATTCAGTGACAGAAGTGACATGTAAAGTTTACCACAGTTTAAGGTGCATTTACTCATTTTTTAAAAACAATATCCCTGAAAAAGCCAAATGTAACATTGAGAGGATTTTATTTTGAAAAATCTTGAAGATCAGAGTGAACAGAAATGAACTGTTTCTTTACACATGGACACCTTGCCTCTTCCCATAAGATTAGCCTTTGCAGTACTAATGGGATTAAAAATGACATGCCGAGGGCATCTTCAGTGAATTTACTGATTCTGGAATAAAGCAGACCTTAAGAACACAATCCCAGCTTATTTCTGGAGAACAACCCCTAAGAGAAAGAAAACCTTGAGTTCTGAGAAGTAAAGAATAAAAGGTTGTTGTCCTGTATGGTGAACAGATGACAAGAAAGGTATTTGAAATTTGGGGCTCTTTTGTTGAGAGATATATCAAAACTGAAAATTATTTGAGAGAATGACTGATAGAGAAGAGATCAATAGTGCCAATTCCAAAATCTGTTCTTTAAGAAGTGATAAGTAATGATGTGACTTGAGAAAATAGTACTATATATTGCTACTAAGGTGATGAATGTTATATCTGGAAGTACGTTAAACTGGATATTATCTACTCTGGAATAGTGCTTGCTTCTTTTTTCCAGGTAAATGCCCATCTTATAGGTTCATTAAAGTTTTTACTACTTAAGGCAAGAATAAGTTCTCTGAGTAGAACCATATCTATCAGATAATTCAAAATTATATAACTAATTTTTAAAAACATTTTCTTTCATTATATAATAAACACAGTATATGGTTTTGGAGCCTGACTGCCTAGGTTCACATCCTAATTCATCACTTATGGAGTGTAACTTTGGACAAGTTACTTAACCTCCCTGTGCTTCACTTCCCCGTCTATAAAATGAGGAAAATCTAGTACCTGCCTTGTCTTTCATTGAATATTACATAAGTTATACGAGTTATAGCACTCAAACAATACCTGACAAAGTATGAGCATAGCAAATTTTAGCTGTTACTACAATCACTGTCACTATTCTCAAGTTTTATCTGGTCAATTTGAATGCCATTAAAATACATTGTGATTTTGCTTATATGACTCAATTAGGTATGTAAAATTATAACATTAATTGATGGAACCAAAGTTTCATAATGCTTTATAATTTTAAAATGCCTTTCACCTGCATTATTCCATATAATTAACAAGCTCTATATCATATTTTAAATTCCAGAGCTTCTCCATTAGCTTCTTACATCAGCTCCTTCTGTCCCAAGAGCTATTTTCTTCAATAGCCCCTCAGTCTTCATCCTTATAGACTCTTCATAACAGAAAGCAGGGCAGACAACAGTATACATACACTCTAGATGTCTCTTAAGATGAGTCATGGCCATTATGAATAAATATGGGTTCTACTCTTGTTGTCAGACAGGGATGCAATAAAAACTGACTTTGTTAGCAGATAAAGAGCAATTCTGTTTCCTAGTGGCAGACTCACGTTAACCAAGCTTGAAAGCCTGATATAAAATTAAAATGCCAATCTATTTATATACAACCAGATAGATCACTGTCACACGGGTTGGAATAATTGCTGTAGCATAGCCAGCACATTCTTTCCTTTCAGCAGATCAATGGGAAGATGAATTATAATAAAATACTCTTTGTTGAGCATGGAGTCTAAATAAACTGACTTAATTAATTAATATGGATGTTTCATGACGTCTCGATTAGGTAGCACAGTGTAGGCCCTCACCAATAAAGTGACTTTCTGAGAGGAAAGTACTTTCAGGACTACTACTAACTGAAAATCTGTCTCCCTGAGAAAATATAATATTTTTCTTCATTATTCTCTTTTGCCCATCCTTAATTTTACCCATTCCCTATCTTAAGGACACTTCCTTTCTTTAAGTAGCAAATACTTTTAATCATGTCAGAGTATAAGTCATACCGCCATCTCTTGAAGGCATCTTTGCAAATACATAGTTTGAATCAATAATTTCCAGAGGAGAATTTTCTTCTAGTTTCTTGGGGAATATCTCACTTTCATCATCATGTGTAATAGTACAGTTACTAAATTTCAAAATTGTCTTTACCAATTCTATAGTAAAGTACTGGAATAAATTACTTTTAGAACTATATGAATATATATTATATGTTACCTTTCATGAAGCTAGTTTAAAAGGAAACAGAAAGGACCTGTTTATTTTAATTGGCTGTGTAACGTTAAATAATGCATTTTAATGCTGACTACTCCCAGTGGGCCCATGTAACCAGCAGCAGTAGTCTCACTCACAAGCTTGCTAGAAATGCTGGCTCCATGGCCGCACCCCAGATCTATGGAATCATAATCTGTATTTTAACATTATCCTCTATATGTACATAGTTTCAGAAGCACTCCTTCAGAGCAATAGGACTAGTTCCAGGTCTGAACGGTTGTCAGTTCCTTTAGCCATGATTGATCTTATAAGTTGTACGCTGCTTAAAGAATAGTTTCTTTAGCCATTCCTTTTAAAAGGGCTGACTTTGACTAATAAAAGTGCCCAATTTTTCCTTTAATCTGTAAGCCAATAACTCTTAGTGATATTAATGTTTCTTTAGTTTCTACATGGGCCAGTTTTTATGTCTGTGAATGTGAAATATAAACCATGGTTGTAAGCTGCCAAAATACCTAATTAGAGAGCACAGGATCTATCATCTATTTTTTATACTTCCTATAAAATACTGCACAGTTGGTTTAACATCAAAAACTAGCTGATTCTGACAGACTTATATGGTTATTATAGTATTAGAAAGACATAGTCATAATTGTTTAATTAAATCATATATAGATGGAAAAACTTGAGTTTCTGTTTTTTTGTCTTCCTTTCTTGATATTTTTTTCTTAGAGTGATGTTTTAACAATATGTAGGTGTTCTGGAATCTAACCTGTCACAGATTAAGAGAACCTCCCAATCAGGTTACTGGACCCAAAAAATGTATCTTTGGGTGAACATTTTTTCTGTCTTCCTATAGGAGGATGCTAAATAAAAGATTATTTATTACCCCCTAGAATACAAATCTATCGTGAAGAAACCTCAAGTCAAAGAATTAAAAAATAAGGATATGTACCCTGTAACTCTTATTTCACATAGCTATTATTCTGTTGTCTACTATGTATTTAAATATGTCACCAATATCATGTTTTGCTTTGTTGGTGTCAATTTTAATTTTGTCAATATCAGTGACTGTGAAATTGTAGAAATAGTTCATCTCTGTATCACGTCACTTTGGCCAGATCTTGACTTCATTTCTTATGTTTCTGCTGATTACATGGTACTTAAAAATAAGTGGAAATAAATATTATAAAATCTTAAACAGTAGAAAACTTATGGTGCAGTGTATCCATGAGCCCTAGAAAAGTATATTAAAGTTCCAAGGTAAAGACTTACGGGAAGGATAAAATCAACACTCACTTTCTTGTTGATATAGTAGGGGTCCAAGTCCTCCAGCGGCTCTGACACCATCCCTGGAGGGATGTCTCCGTAAATGAATGGAAGATTCTTTCCAGCCTCCAAGTCACTGTTTGGCTTTGGTTCGTTCTCTTCATCATTGTCTTGTTCTCTCTTGGGTTTCTTGGCTTTCTCTTCTGCAGCACGTTTTTCGATAGCAGCAAGAGATTCTCTAGTAAAAAGGCGGAAGCTTTCAGGTCCTGGGGGTACCAACAGTGCCTGTGCCATCTTTTCATCCTGCACATTTAATTACGTTTAGCTTCTTGCATAAGAATAGCCTGCAATTTAAAAAAAATGCATGAGGGTTAGGAAAGCAAGAGAATGAGAGAGATTAAGAAAATCAACCAAGGTGTTAATATTTCTTGTATTAATTATTTTAATATAAACACTAAGTAGTGCTTTTCATGCTGCACTAAAAATTTTAACTTAGAAATATTGTCCAATCTAATTTTCAATAAGACAACTTTATGTGTCTATCAAATGTCTGTTCTGATACCTTTACACCAAATTAGAGTAAACATTTGGTAAAGATTAGTGCCAAGAATGCTTGTCGATAAAATTACTTAGGGATCCATTATTTCTCTCCCTCCTCCTTTTATCATATCTTACTAACACTCCAAAGAAAAATATCCTGGTGACAATATAGTGGTATACCGCCAACTCATAAAATCTCAGGGTAGGAAAAGAATTTTGTGCAACCCAACCACTGTTCTAATTACCAGCATCATTGAACACTGGTTCTAAGGCAAGATCTGACTGTCAGCGTCGACAGAGAGGTCAAAGCTGTTTCCTTTTAGCTTTTCGCTTAGTTTCCTCCTGAGGTATCTTCTGAAGCAATGCAGAATGTATTTCCTTTTCCTATCTGCTCCTCTTTAAGTATTCCAGGACAGTTTTCATCTTCTTCCTGAATCTTTCATCTGATGTAGGGTAGTAAAGGTAACGGACTATGGAGCCAGATTCCTTCTGTTCTAAACCCTGGCTCCGTCACTGTTGAGCGGCATGACTTTACAAATGTAATCCCTCAGTGCTTCGGTCTTCATCTATAAAATGGGGATAATATGAGAACTGATCCCCCAGGTTAGTAAGGAATTAATAAATTAATTTGCATTAAATATTTAGACTAGTTTCCAGAATTAGCAAGCACTGTGTTAGTGTCAGTGATCGTGATCTAATTATCTTTAGTTCCTTCAACCCTTTCCTCTGTTGTGGTTTCAAGCATCTTTGCAAGTCAAGCCACTGTTCTTTAAATGAGGTCCTAACTTGCTGGAACTCCAGTTGACTGTGGAGCTTCAGGAATGGACTAGGATGTGAAGAGTGCAGGGGCGCATTCACACACGCCTACCCCATGCCTGGAAGAGGAATGGAGGAGACAAGGCAGACACGTGGAGTGGACCTGCTCAATTTCCCAGGGGAGGGAAAAAATTCTATCTGCTGGAAATGTGACAGAACTGTCAGAAATACAGGAAATCAGCTACATAAAATTTGAAACATGAGTTGGCAGTTACTTTATTTTGCCTTGTGCCAAGAATCTCATTTTACAAATCCATATAGAAAATAGAAACAATAACAATGAAATGCAATGAGTACATCAGTCATCTTGTAGAATGATCTACAACCATGGCATCAGAATAATCATGGAAGTCAGCTGTGACATTTCCCTACCCCCAGATACCCACCTTCCTCTGCCCCCGACACTTACTCTACTCACCATAGTAGTTTATCCCTAAATGGCATTCTACTTCTTGGCAGTTCATTGCATGGAGATAGTGAGTTTCCAGAGAAGGAGAAATTTTAGATCTTATAGTGACATAAGAAAAATGATACAGAATACTGTGTGTTTTTTGTGTATATCTGAATTACTGGTTCCCAGGTCTGTCCCAGTGACAAAAAATATTTTAAAACCTATGTCTTTCCATTGAATTCATATTCATAGTATGATACCATCATTATATTTCCTGCTATTATGAAGGTATATTCCAGGTAAGTTATAAATTATCAGACTTGTCAAAAAACTGTGCCATATCCCCTACTAGTTCTGAAAAAAAAAAAAAAACTTCTGATTTGTGATGGGACAAGGCTCTTTCTTATGCTGCATCAAGTGGTATATGGATCAGAAGGTTTGGGAACAGTTATTCTGTTTTACTTAAAAATCATTCAGCTATCTATTTTGTGCCTTGTAAATTCATGGTAGATGGCACAAAGTAGAATTAATGGTTTCATCCATTTTATGTTAAATTCAATGGCAACATAGTCATTTCAAGTCTAGGCAGCTGCGGAATAATCACAGCTTTTGTACTTTTCAGTGGGGAAGGAGTTTGCCTTTAACTGAAAGCCTTAAACAACCAGGGATGTGTGATCCACCTGTCTCTTATCACCTGTTGTGAATTGAATGAATAAGGATTCTTCCCAAGTGCTAAATGAAAATGACAAAGCATGAGAAAAATATCTTAAAAAATTTCTGTGGAACTTGGCTGCTCTCTTAAGGGAAAAGAAAGGTTACTTTTGTAGTTAAACATTTACTTGAACTGATTTTGGTTTCTTTATTGACACTGGAATGAAAACCTTGCAGCAGTTGGTTTCAGAGATCTAGATTAGTATTGAGTGTGAGTACTGGGTTTGTGGTACTGAGTTTGTCATTTAATCTTCCTCAACCTCTTTAAAGAATCTGCCTGCCAGTGCAGGAGACATAAGAGATGCAGGTTTGATCTCTATGTCGGGAAGATCCCCTGGAGTAGGAAATGATAACCCACTCCAGTATTCTTTCCTGGAGAATTTCATGGACAGAGGAGCCTGCTAGGGCCCCCAGTCCATGGGGTTGCAAAGAATTGGACACAACTGAGCACATACAAGCAAGCAACCTCATTGTCATTGAAATACCTTATCACATATGTGGCAACACTTTTCCATAAAGAAATAACTAATTTTACTCATTTAATTGGAGTCTCCTGGCGCCTACGTTTTAAAATGAAATGATTTTAAACATATCTAATGTAGAAATCTTCCAGTAATCTTTATAAATGACTTCGATTTCTCTGAGATGACACAAAACAAGGTACCATCACAAAATCATGAACATTTATTTTAAAAATAAATAATTCTTTACCTTCGTTCACTTATCAGGGGCCAGAATAAAGATCTCGAGTCTTGAGCAAAAGGAAGTAAAGACGTCTCTTTGAAATCACCATGCTGGTGTCTCTAAATCCTGAGAAGACAGTCCAATTCTAGACTCTCAGCTTTCTGTCTGCAAGGAGACCTAGGGTTTGCTCAGTATTTGGATAGGCTGAGACATTAAAGATTATAGTGAACAGAGTTTCTTGGGGCTTCATGTATAGTGTTGCTGTTTAGAAACCTCTCATAGTTCTCTAGTAGTTCTATTTTAATTTTTTTTCTATTCTTTCTTGTTCTTTGTGAGCTTATTATACTGAGCTCTTACATAATTTTATATTCCTATTAGGACAGACTTTAAAAAATTAATTCCTGCTGATGCCTTGGTGTGGAACATATATTATTAATGAATATATGTGCATTATAATTTATTAAAACACATCAAATTTAACATACCAAATTTTCTCCAGAACTGTCCTTGCAAGGACAAAAAAGCAGAAAAGATCTGAGGAGATGATCTCTTTGATTAAAAAATCAAGTGTCTATGTTTGTTAATGTGTGTCAATAAAACAAATGCATCCTTCTGTTAATCAAGAAAGACTGTGGTTCAAAATATCTTATTACAGGGATGGATGACAGAATTTCAAACCTGGAAGGAAACTTAGGGTCATTCATTTAGGAAATATTTATTGAGGGACCACTCTGTATCAACACTGTGCTTAAACTAGGTACCCATAGTCTCTGCCCTTAAGGAACTGACTGTCCATTGGGAGAGACAGATTTTTATACTAATAATTATAATGTAATCTTATATAACTGGTTATTATCTGAGCTGCATTAAAGGGAGCAGTTTATTCTACCCAGGGAAGGGCATGGTTAAGACAAGTTTTCCTAAGGAAGTGATATTAGAGGAAGTTTTGTAGACTGGTTGGAATTTGACCAGCTAGTTGTAGTGGTGGTGGTAGATGGGGGAAGGTTGGGAAGAAGCCATATCAGTAGAGACCTATTAGGTAGGCAGGGGGAAGCACGTATATGGACCCAGAAATAACAGAGCATGGATTGTTTGGGAAGAACTATAAGAAGTTCATTATGGGTGGAAGTCAACCTGCCTAAAAGGGAATGGAAAAATGAAGGAATGGAATTTAGGCAGGGTACAGATCACCAAAGGCCTCATTCAGCATGCTAAGGAAGGCTGTAGGTGGGACATGCATGATCACTTTAAGATTGGAAAGATGGTGGCAGTATGAAGGATGGACAGATAGGGAGCGATCCTAGAGCCATGGTTTTTAAACATTTTGGTTTCAGGATCCCTTAATGCTCTTAAAATTATAGATGACTTCAAAGAGCTTTTGTTTAAGAAGAGACTTATCTATCCATATTTACTGTACTAAAAATTAGAATAGAAAATTTAAAAATATGTCTTGATTAACTTAATATGTTTATATATAAAATGGATTTTTAATGAAAACAACTTAATATACCAATCATGTTTCAAAATGAAAAGAATTGAGTGAGAAGAATGAACTTGTTTTACATTTGGGCAAATCTCTTTACTGTCTGACTTAATGGAATATAGCTAGATTCTCCTATCTGCTTAAGAATTCAGTCTGTTGAGATATGTTGTTTTGATTAAAGTACAAGAAGAAAATCCTCTCACAAATATGTAGTTGGAAAATAGGGAGTATTTCAATTTCTTTATGAAGCAATTGTGAATATTTTTCTTTGATAAACATTAAAACTCTACAAATGGTAGTTTCTTAAATTAGTTTCAGTGTGGAATCTGAAACTGTCTATCAGTGAACTTTTGATTGATCTTGCCCTTTGGATGGATTTTGTACCATCATGCATAGATCATTTGGAAAATATCAGCACATTGCTATGCAAACTTTCCAAATTTTGCAAATTTTATTATGTAACATTCAAAAATAGCATTTGTTAATATCACCATTGATCTCTAGAGAAGATCATAATGTATTGGGAGACTGTCAAGCTCCCAGTTCAGTTCAGTTCAGTTCAGTCGCTCAGTCATGTTTGACTCTTCGCGACCCCATGAACTGCAGCACACCAGGCCTCCCTGTCCATCACCAGCTCCCAGTTTACTCAAACTCATGTCCATTGAGTCGGTGATGCCATCCAACCATCTCATCCTCTGTCGTCCCCTTCTCTTTCCCAGCATCAGGGTCTTTTCAAATAAGTCAGTTCTCCCAGCTTCAGGTAAAAGTTTTCCAGAATTTCAATTTCCCCTTGAAAGCTCCAATTTTAACATCAATAACAAATGCTATCATTTGTTTCCCTGAAATGACAGGTTTTTCCTTTATTCATTTTTGAGAAAATATCTGCCAAATACCCAAGTCTGAATAACCATAAGTTTGTCAGTTCTTTCTTTCAAGTGGAAATGGTGTTTCATGAAAAAGCACTGTGCATTCGGCTCCTGACACACAGTCACACAGCTCTTTTCCTTGAGACTGCTGTAGCACAGCAGAAATGCTTTCTGTATTCTTTCCCTATCATCATACAGAATATTAAAAATATGTGTTCTTTAGAGTCAAGATTTAATAAAACTAATAATTTTTACTGCCTCATCAAAGATGTTCTTATGTGAACTGGCATTTTTTTTTTTTTCTTACCAAAAATGGTGGTGAAGAAAACAAGGACTCTTCCTATGATTTAGTGCCACTGCCTTGATTCCTGCTCAGGCATTAGCAGTTCTACTTTCCTGACTTTAGCACTATAGGTGCAAATGTCAGAGCAGTGAAAAAAGGCAAATGACAATTTGGTATTTTTTAAAGAAAATCATTTAGACCTCACAGACACTCTGAAATGGACTCAGGGACACTCCCGTGTCTGAAAACCACCCTTTGAGAACAGCCTCCCTAAAAGGAAGCAGATGGACACTAGTGATTTAAAGCACAGGGTAAGAGAATTTTATTGTAGCTTTACTACTTAAGGGTGTGGACTTGGCGGTCAGGACTGCATTCAAGCCCAGGGTCCACTATGTTCTAGCAATGTGATAAAAAAAATTTTTTTTTATTCTTCATACTCTCCAGGTTCCCCATGAAGATAATGATAGCAATGACAGCACATACTTCACAGAGTTAATGTTAACCTTTAAATGAGAAAATGCACTGAAAGGTGAGCAGGTGCCTGGAAGATAGAAGGTCTCCAATAAGTTAGAGAGAAAACAAACCATGGCTGGAGGTTTGTCCTGAAGGCACAATTAGGAAGAGAAAACCAATGAGATTTTATGATGATTTGATACAAAGGGTAAAGAAGAGTTACGAGGTTAAGTTCATCTCCAGATTTCTGGTTTAAGCCTCAAGTTTAACCCAACAGAGAAGTTGAGGTTTGTAGGAATAAATTCTGCTTGAGTTTTATTTACTTTGAGATGCCTGTGAGACAACTGGGTGTATATGTATCTGAGACTCAAGAAAGCTGTCTGGGCTGGGTAAATGTTGATTAAGGAGTCACCAGTTAAAGTTGAAGAATACACAGTACATTATTTAGGAAAAAAATTGGAAACATGAAGAGGCAGGACTCTTGCGAATACCATTTTTTAAGGAGAGGGAACACAGAGGTATTAGTGAAATTAGAACAGTTATATAGATGCCAAAAGAGGAATTTCAGAGAAGCTAATTAATAGGCATGCATTGGATTTGACAAAAAGTCCAGCTCCCTGCCTTTAAAATAAATGAGGAACAGGCACAGAGAAGGAAAGTAATCTTCACTGAAGTGCCTGTCTATTGACAAACACAGATTGTTGCCCTAAGGCGACACATTTTCCATACATTCTGTTCTTGACTGATTTTTCCTAGTATTGTTGACATTTTTTTATCTTGAATCTTACTATTGTGTGATTTTATATTAAAGATCTAAGCTGTATATAAAGCCAGAAAAATAGATTTGTGTAACCTAGTCCAGTTTTCCAGGTTCACATATCTGTATGCTGTGATACTAACATAAGCTGCTGAAAATATGTAAAACCAACAAATACAACAAATACAAGATTAATAATTGTTAGTTAATCAGAATCTGAGAGAAATGGCACAGTAAATATTTGGGATATGCCGTAGCACTACTGCAGCAGAAACAGAAGTATTTTTTCCATTAGTCATTTAGCCCGTGAATTCTCATCTTGCCTAATTTTCCAGAACAGAAGACAGTTTGGTGAATTGTATTGGTCTATAGCCTGTTAGTATCAATAGTCTCTCTCTGTCTCTCTCTGTAGGGATTTTTATAATTATGTTACAGACAAAATCAATTAGTTCTGGTCTATTCCCATGGAAACTGAATTATGTCAGAGGCTGTAAATTTGCCATCTTCAAGGAAGGAAAGTCGTTCTGTGTCACACAACTTGAGAGATCAGGGAAGAAGAAAACAACATCTGAGTATATTTTCATGTTCTTGACGACAAGAGAGAGTTGTCAGGGAAAGACTGGTTTCATTACTGAGAATAGGATGCTGTCTGTGTTTTCTTGGTATCAACAAAAGAAATAGGAAGGGCATAATCTAAAAGACAGGATGGACCAACCTAACTATTTTCTTACTAAAGAAAGTTATTATTTTTTCCAAAGGGATTTTCATTTAGGGCTCTTGATTGTCTAATATTTGCATGTATCCTCAGGTGGCATATGTGACCAAGAGCATATTTTATCAAATATTTTATCAAATGCATACACACAGCATTCAACACATGATAATAGTAACCACTGGGCATTCGCCAAGGCTGAATAAAATATTATTGTCTGTGTTTTAAAAGTTTTGAAATTATTGCTTTGTTGGTGTGCCTACCTAACCAAGTGACTTTGAGGATAAAATAATAATAATAATAGATAAAACTCAATTGAATGATCACTATGTCTCAGATACTCTGTCATGTAATTTATGTACACTAACTTATTTAATTGTTACTTTAACCCTATGAGGGTATTACTATTACTATTTTCCCCATTTTATAGATCGGAAAACCTAGGTGTAGGTAGGTTGGATAACTTGTCCAAGTTACAAAACTAATAAGGAGTCAGGATTTAAATACAGATAGTTTGGGATTAAGCCTGGGCCCCAAGCCTGCAAAATGAGAAGAATTTTAGTTCATGTCTTCAGAATTGGGATTAAGATGAGTCAGCTACCTTATTAGGATGTTATTATGTATAGAGGTTGTTACGTATGTATTATGTTAGGAATAGGGTGGTACCACCTAAAGAAGCACAGCAATAAAGTCCTCAACTTTGCTTTAAAATACAAAACAGGAATGAATTAATAAACATAAAACCCACATCTAATAGATACCTGTTCATATGTATGTTAAATATTTTGGAGCTATTTAAAGGTAAATTAAAAGTCTGAGCTTGCTACTTCATCTATGTAACATATTTCTTGTTCTTAGTGTGATATCAAGCAATTCAGTATTACTAATGGCTTGGACAAACCTATTAAGAAAGTAACTCTGTGGTGTGAATATCACCATACTATGGCCAAATACAAATTAAATCTAGACTTTCTCTATTATTGTTCCTTTCTTGTCAGATAAACACATGATTGTCCATACATAAATATTATTATTATTTACTAAATAGAAGAACTATTTTTGTCTTTTTCTACCTGGACTTAATGTCAGGCATCTGAAAAAAATAGCTGAATGTGAAAGCAAAGTTCATCTCTGGCTTCAGAACAGTTTTTGTCTTGGAAATAATTATTATCTTTTAGGAGATGATGTTGCCTGTGACTTTGTCATTATTAGATAGATACACACTCAGAGAGACAACTGCTAACTAATAATGACAATTAAGCCAACATTGTAATAAAAAAATCAGCATCATTGGTTTTATCAGCTCCTCAGTTTGTCTACTGTGTGTTTTCAGACTGAAGCAAATTTTGTGTTCGTCTCCCCAACAACCATTACACTTCAGTACCGCCTTCAAACCCCTTGCCTGTCGTTGGTTAAGGATTAGGCATTTGGTCCAGTTCTGGCCAATATAAGATGAGGGCAAGTCTGCCAGCCTGGCATCTGTAAAAGGTTTCTTCACTCAAAAAAGACTGAGAGGGAGAGAGAATTCTCTGTCCCATGGACATTGTTGCATCAGGGTATGATAGATGGTCCTACTGCTGTCACTTAAAACCAGAAGGGATGCCACTGTGAGGGCACAGCTGACACAGTGAGGGTGGCAGATCACAGAGACAGATCTACCCTTGGGCTCTTGATGGATCACTCACCTCCTGGACCCAAACAGCCTCTGCACTGCTTGTTAGGTTCAATAAACATCCTTCTTGACTTAGATAATTTTAGACAGCTTTTTTCATTAGTTGCAGCTGATACACCAAACAAATAAACACTCCTCAGTAGGTCCAAAAACTTGGCCAGTCCAGGAGCCAGCTTACAATCCAATTCTGACTACATATTTGGATGTCCTTTATCCTATACAAATAGATGGCCTACAGATCCAATTACCAAATAAATAAAGTTCAACTAAATATAATCCTGGGTAATTTGCTGAATACATGAGATGAATGTATCTCTTGAGAGAAAAAGAAAATGCTGGTTTAGTTTCTCTTTACTTACATCAATAGCCTTTGTCATCTTTCCACTCCCTGAGGTCATCCCTGCCATGTCTCTTGAGTGTGTTTCTCTTTAGGAGGAACAAACTAGCAAGGAGGCAGGAAATCCCTCTTCTGCCTCCTCTTTGTCCTGAAACTGTTGCCATTGTTAGTTTACTAGATTTTACTTTACTTTGCACAAACACGATTTAGACCCACTAGAAGTTTAGATACCTTAGATAGTCACAGCACCTTTTTCCGGAAAAACTCCAGGCCAATTCCGGGAATTATCTCATTTGTTCTTATATGACCCTTATAAGAGATTCTGTGTTTTTATTCCAGTATGCCACTCTGCCACAAATCCTTGACAGGTATCTCATCCCTGATGAACTCTGATGTGGCTTGACATTACCTTCCTTGCTCCATGATCTGTGAAGAAAGAGAACACAGGTGAAGTGAATCCAGCACCTTTGGCATTTGGATTGATATGGGTACTCTGTTTCTGGATCTGGATTTTGTATGCACTTTATTTACTTATAGTTCAAGATCAAGAAATCAGGATTGACACAAAACATGTTTGAGCCTTGTGAGCAGCATGCCCTTGTGTGCTCAAGGAATGATGGGGCCAGGAACCACTGTCAGGATCCTGCAGTGGGCATGGGACTCACCTCCGTCAGTGGCAACCTTGATTCCAGTCCTTCTGAAGACAGACTGGAGCTCCAGGGCATCTGCCTGCTCCTCACCTCCTACTTCCTTCCCTCCTCTCCTCTCTTTACTGCCCTGTTGCTTTTTTTTCTTCAAATACCAGAAAGATCATAGAGGTAGACCCTTGGAGTTTATGGTACACATGGAGGTTATGGGTTATTATCCTAGTTCCTTTTCCTCTCCACCTAAAACCCCACTTTATTTGCTAAGACCAATAAACTTTATTCAGTGGCTTCTAAGAATAGATTTTAGATAAGCAGAGGTGAAAAAACCAGCATGTTAAACCAAGGCATAATATATATCAATCTGATGTCATATTCCTTCCGGCTTATAACCATTAGCAATGGCTAAGCCTAGTTAAACCAATGATTATTTAAAAGGACGATATATGAAAGTGAAAGTGTTAGTCGCTCAGTTGTGTCCGACTCTTTGCGACCCCATGGACTGTAGCCAACCAGGCTCTTCTGTCCATGGGATTTTCCAGGCAAGAATACTGGAGTGGGTTGCCATTTCCTTCTCCAGGGGAATCTTCCCAACACAGGGATCGAACCCAGGTCTCCCACATTGCAGGCAGATTATTTACCATCTGAGCCACCAGGGATACCCAATCAGTATCCCTGATTTAAATCAGCAATTAGTATTTTAAGAAATATTTCATTTCACATATACAAATCTTACATGGCAAACGAGTCTGGATCCTCATGAATTAATCTCTTTTCACAATTTACTGTAAAAAAAAAAAACCCACAAAAAATCTCCCCTTTATATAAAACACAGAGTTGGGTTTTTTTTAATCTTCATCTCCAGAGGAGAACTCACTCCTAAGCAACCAATCTCTTCTTTAATCTGTCATCAGAGTGATCTTTTTAAAATATGTATCTTATCCTTATTAAAATTTGTCAGTGCTTCTCAGTGAGTTATAGTCACTTAGGAAAGCATGCAGGTGCCTTTATGATCTGGCCGTTGTCTCTCCTCTCCTTCACTGGTTAGCAACACAGACCTGGCCCTGTCATTTGTTAGCTGTTTGACATTGAACATGTTACCTGACCAGTCCAATTTTTAGTTTCCTCTCTGTTAATGGAAACTGTAGTACCCTTGGAAAGAGGGTTGTTGTTAGAATTAAATGATCTTCTTCACACACACACACACACACTGGTGATTTTCACAAGAGTTACTTGTACAATAGCTGGTATAAAGTAGGCTTTCCATAAAAGCTGGAGGTTTTAGTAGTAATAGAAGTAGCAATAGTAGAAATAACAGTATTTTAGTTATTATTACTTTAATAATACCCATCATCAGAGCTTGAAGCATTAAACTGCATTCAAGCATTAAATTGTTAAATTTATAGTCCTTAAATAAATGCTAGTTCCTTCTACTATAGTCACAGGCTAATAAACACTACTTTGCGCCTTCACAGCACATAAATAACTGAGTTTTCAATACCTTGATCTCCATCCTGACTTATAATGAGCATGGGATTAAATAACTAAAATATCAAATTTAGATATTCTAAATTATTTGCAGCCTTTTCTCTGGGGACATTTTCAGCCTTTTCTCTGGTGCGGGGGTGAAGATGGGAGGACTAAATATCAAAGAGGAACTAAGAACTTAAGGAGGAACAGAAGAGGAGAGTTTGAAAAAGCATGCCAGAAAGTTCTGATTTGCTCGAGTTCTCCTTCTTCACCCTCCCCTTGTGAAAATCACTGATTCATAGATCAGACAAAACATATATCATGGCCTGGGCTCCAAATGGGAGAGATTTTTTTTCAGTCTCAAGGACACATGGGAAATAGTGATTTCTACATCTGGTTTCATACTCCAATTTAGGTCCAATACTTTGAGTTGTATTATGTCTTAATAAGATCTCTATCTCACTCATCATTAGAAGTAGACCATGGTTTATAGATTAATTATAAGATAAAATAGGACTACTTGAGTTAAGAAGAAAATGAGGATTCTTTAAATCAGGTCTGAACTTCAGTGAGCATAAGAATCACTTGGACTACTTATTAAATCTGTAGACTTCTGGGTTCAATCTCTGGAGATTCTGAAAAAGCTGGTCTTGGGCAAGACCCAGGGATCTGCATTTTAAACCAGTTCCTTAGATTAATTTGATGGAAATGGCACATAGATATCCTGAAAGAAAAGAGTAGAGATTACTCTGAATATGAGATGGTCACTTTATACAATCAAGGCTGGAATTTAGCCCTGATGTTCCCCATAGGTAAGAAAAAGTGGAAGTACACAGAGTCACATGTATCTGATTTTTATTTTAAGAAACAAAACAAACAAACAAAAAATTCTTAAACACTATGTATAAAAAGACAAACTCTCTCCAGGAACCAAACTGAGGGAAGAAGTTTTGCTATCAAGGGACACTATATAACATGCCTAGCAGATGTCTTAAATTTAATTTCACAGAAAACCCATACAAGATTTAATCTAATAAGACTTATACTAATGGTTAAAATAGTTGAACTCAGTGAATTCCATTAAGATGGTGATGAGATAAGATGATTTAGAAACTATACTTTCAGATTACTTAATATTAGACGTACAGATCCCCCCAAAATGGATAGCCTGCCTTTGAAATTATCTTAAGAGAATTTTAGCAGTTCAGAAATTAAGGGGAATTTCTATATACTGTGAATGAGGAAGTCATTGTTCAAAGAATGTGACAGAAGCTTTACTCTGAAAAGGGTAGTTGTCACCAGCTGGGGAACTTTGGAAAAATTTGCTTTCATTTTATTTTTCTTAGCTCATTTCTATTTTTACTGTTAATATTATTAATTGTAATATTAATACCAACAGTTGAATTTTCTAGAGATGAGTTTGTTTATATTTCCTTTTGTGTTAGTTTATCCTAACAATTGATTTATCCTTTAATTTTTTCTAGTCCAGTGTTTAATTTTGGTCTTATTCCAGCTCCATTGTTTTTAACCTTTATTTTGCTTCTTTAGTTTATCCTTTAGCTATTCGGGGGCTTTCCTGGTGACTCATGCGACAGTAAAGAAGCTGCCTGGCAAGCAGGAGACCCAAGTTCAACCCCTCGCTCAAGAAGATCCCCTGGAGAAGGAAATACCAACCACTCCAGTATTCTGGCCTGGAGAATTCCTTGGACAGAGAAGCCTGGTGGCTACAGTCCATGGAGTGGCAAAAAGTCAGACATGACTGACTTTCGTTTTCACTTCACTTAGCTATTTTTAGCCATTTATGCAGCTTTCTTTCCTTTCAATCCATTTTATCCTCCTTTATGTTGACATAATGTACCTGCTTCAGAATTTTCCAGATCAAAACCATTTCTGGCAGGCATTCAGCTGTAAAACTCTGGGGACTCAGTTAGCTCTTTGTGCAGGGGCTGAAGTAAATCCAAAGCCACTCACTGAAGAGTTCACAACTATTGTCATCAGGTCCCTGGCAGCGTTTCCCCATGGGGAGGGAGCAGCCATCCATCTGGATGGGATTGCTGGTTGGCACTTCAGTGTCTGTAATAGCCCTATCCTACCAGCTGCTGCTTTGGTTTTAGGACTTGAAACTGTTATCAGGTAAATAACTTCAAATGGTCAAATCACCAAGATGTTATGAAGTGATATACTGGGAATTTTGTCTAGGAAGGAAAACCATACATCTACTTCTCTGGGTCCTTCAGATTCTCTTGGATCAAATTTGACCATTAGAAGACTAAATGAGGGTCTCAGTTAACTTAAAGTCTGGAATTTCTTTCTTTGAGTTGTATTAAGTTCATTTCTGCCTTACTCTAAAAATGTTGAGTCTGAGACTCAGGAGCTAAATGTACATTCTAAAACAGTGACTTCATTAACCCACAATCTTGAACAGGTTTAATCATCCTACATTTTCTCCATTTCCATTGTCTTCAACTGCCGGATGCTCATGGATTTTGAAAAAATAATGTACCATTTTACTTCATTTTTTTTACAAAGAGATAGAATATAATAAAAACAAAAAATTGTTGTTTTTCAGTCGCCATGTTGTGTCTGACTGTTTTGTGACCATATGGACTGTAGCCCACCAGGCTCCACTATCCATAGGATTCCCAGGCAAGAATACTGGAATGGGTTGCCATTTCCTTCTCCATAAATAAAAGTTAAATTTCTCTAAATATATGATTTAAAATATTTATTGGAGCTTGGAAGTCCAGTGTTCTAAAACTAAAAAGGCTCCTTCTGCTGTCTAATTGCACCATTAGAGTGTTTGTCAGTGGTCCTGAAAATTTAGCATCAGATCACCTGTAGGACTTTTAGTAAAACACAGCTTGCCAGGTTCCACCCCAGAGTTGCTTGTAGATACAGGTGTAGTCCCAAATTTTGTGTTTCTAATAAGCACACAGAGGATGCTGATGATGTTAGCCCAGGAATCACATTTTGACAATGACTGGCTTATAGAATCCAGAAATTTTTGGGGTTTTTTTGTTTGTTCTGCTTTTTGTTGTTGTTGAACTTAGAAGCATATGTACCAGTCATACTGCTCTCATTTTTATGATTTCTCAAAGATAATAGTCATAGCTTCTTCAGTCTCATTGTTCATTTGTTTAATGTCCTGTGGTGTAATTCTTCTGAACCTGGAAGCTTAAAATGATTTATGGCAGTATTTCATAGAAGCCTGCAATAGCTTTGTAAGCATCTCCCTGATTCCGGCCTGACTCCCATAGAGCCTATTTTCACCCAGCAGTCAGAGTGATTTGGGGAAAAGAGAAAACAAATTGA